ATTATTAAAAAGTTTACATATAAATCGTCCATTTAATCTTATAAATATAATAAATTCAAATTATATTTATTCATTAATAAATAATATTTGGTATAAAGAAATTACAAATAAAACTAAACATTATGATTTAAAATCAAAAATTCCGCCAATCAATTATCGCGCATTATATGAACAAACTAAAACAACATTAAATTTAACATATTCATTTGATAATTTATTTGTTGGCAATGTAAATCATTATTTAATTGATCCTGATTTTAATTATTTTATAATTATTTTACGTAATTTAAAAAATATTTCTAATTATGAAAATAAAAATTTAATAAAATTTTATGAAAATTTAAATCGATTATTTGAAGAATATCATGGTAACTATTTATTTGTTAAAAATCAATTAAATATTATTGAAAAAAATAAAATTATTTTACAACCATTTGATAAACTTGCCAATATTGGTTTAAATATATTAGAACAAATTCAATTATTATCAAATTTAGATATTGAATATTTAATAAATCAATTATTTCCAATTAGTTGGTATCAATTAAAACCTAATATAATTAAATATATAATACCATTTATATATAATCTATTAGATGATATGATACCATTTAATGGTTTATATGAAATATATACAAATGGAATCATGTCTATTTGTCCATTAACTAATATCAATGATAATCAACAATTATTAGAGTTAAATATAAAGCCTATATTAAATGAATTAAAATTATTGAGTATAACAATTACAATAGGATGTATTTTCTTATTATTATTATCATTAATTAATTCATTATTATTATAAAATTAAATGTTTAAAATTCCTTTCTTGTCGAATTGTATTATGTACTACTTATATCGACATAAGTAGTTAGTAACACTAGTCAGGAATAAGATATCTGGGAGTAAAAGTTTAAGAAGATCGAGAAGAAAAACTTGGGAACAAATAGCAATTGATATAAAAATACAGGAACAATAAAGTCTGAGACGATTGACTGATATTTACAAAATGAACAGTCAATTTTGAGATAATTGTTTGACATTTTGCAAATGAAGTATTTACTGTATGGTTCATAGATTTTAATAAGATGTTATATAATTTTGTGTACAAATGTATTCGATTGTCCCCACCTACGTTCTCATTTATTACAGAACTACTTTTTTAATTCATTACGAGTAATATCTGTGATTATCTTTTGCTTATTTATAAAATGTATAATTATTGTATTTAAAAATGATTTTAATTGGTTGAGTTATTTATTTATTTATTTTTTCAAATAAATTTTCTGTTACTGTTGTTATGTTGATAGTTAGAATGTTTATTTATTGTCCCTTCAGATTGTATAAATCTTCTAGAATAAAAATAAATTCGTTATATTATTTCAAAGCTTTCTATTTTAACCAATTGAAATGAGAATTTTCTTATAACGAATGAAAGTGTTATATTCAGTGGTTGTCTAATTTAGATACAGATTTACCTGCTCCTTAAATGCTTATCTAACCTGCTATACGAATAATAGTACTGTGAATAACTAGAAAGTTAATAATTAGTAAATCAAATGGTGTACATAATTCATGGAATATAGATATTTTTGATTTTGATTTTTAACCTAAGCCTTAATTGACTTCATTTGACAGTGTGTTTCATTTGCTATTTCTCACTGACCGTTTATTCTTAAAACGGTATATGAGCACAGGCATATGATATATCTGGAATCATTAAGACTATAAATAAGTTTAAAGCGTAATAATAAATCGTGATGTAACTAGTGTAAATCGGAAACATATCAATAAATGATGGCCACACTGTTCTGTGAAATGATTAATGCTGAAAAAATGTTACTACTTATATTTTAGTAAACGAATAAAGCCGTACACCTTATGTGACTGTGAGTTGTGAAAAGGTATAGATTAATGAACTAACTCCTAAACTCTGCATGGTTTTCACTAGTTCAAAGATAGAAATAAAGATTTTGGAATTAATGAAATTTCACTTAAAAAAACAGAAATTCACTTCAATCTCTTTAAAACCATTCAGTACGTCATTTATCATACATACCATTTAATGTATATTAAGACTACAGTTCAACTACATGAATGACCAATTTATATTTTGCGGTTAGAACACGGTCATTTTTGATGAACTTTATCATAGAATAATAACTTTGGGAAAGATACCAAGTTATTGATCTGTTTTTAATATTTCTAGATTTTAACACCACTTTTAAAGACAAATTTAAACTAACTCAGTAAGTAAAAGACTAGTCACTCAACAGTGAAATCGAAATGTTGTTAATGAGTTGCTTTAGTCATCAATAACTTTTGATGAACTTGACCGGAAGTATAAGTCAGTTAATGGTTAAGAATGAGTATCACATTGTCTTGACCTTAGTTCTAACGGAATACAATTATCGAATAAGTTAGCAATGTTCCCGATTAGTTGAGTGATTCAATATTGTGGTGTACCATTTGAAAGTTCTTACTTGTTCGATTTACTTTTAAAATATTCTAAAACTGTTAGTTTCGTGTTCGTTTTTGACCAATGTTTTGTCTGTTCAGAGTAATTGATGATATAGAAACATGAATGTATCCATACATGAATAATTATTTGTACCTAATTATATTATATGTGAACTTGTAGTAAAATTTAGTATGTAAAGTTTATTGTATTCTATCATGGAATTAATAATCTAACAAAAAAACATTCTGTTCGTACTGGTATTGATTTACTCAAAGGCCCATAAATCTTTACTTGCTATTAAACCTTACTGGAGTTTAATTCATAAAGTGTATGTGGATGAATGATATCTAGTTACTTTGTAAGTAGTGTTTATGCATGAAACTAAAAGAAAAGCCTATGGGAAAAGTCAACTGGAATACTATATCATTCTTTGATAATATTTAATTTTGACTTGTTTCGTTATTAACAATAATATTATTTAATTCTCCATGTCATTAGATTTAATTCATAGGTGTCCATAAAAAACATTTTATTATCGATGTTTAGTTTTAATTCAAACTTGATAAAGAAGTAAGGTTAATTTACATTAACATAAACATTTGTAAGAGAGAATTTTATTTTCTTCAGATCTCTTCAGCTAGAGATATTTCACTAGTCAACATTGTTTAGATCATTCAATGAATTCAAAATTCTTGTGAAAAAATTAATCATCATAATTTAGATTCTATTTAGAGTGAATTATTTTGTATCAGAGAGATATTTTAAGAGATTTTTTACATTTATCAGATTTTAAGGTTTACGATTAAGATCATGAACCGATCAATTTTAGACCACCATTGAAAACTCAGAAACACTAGACGGCCGTTTCGTCCCATTGTGGGACCCCTCAGCAGTGTGCATCCGCGATCCCGCTCGCGGGATTCGAATCTAGGGCCTTCAGCCCCACGCGCGAACGCTTAACCTGTAGACCACTGAGCCAGCATCCAACGGTGTTAATGTCCAGCTTCAACCAATCCACGAAGTTGCGCTACCATCTTCCATTATACTGAGGTAGATACCTGTCTCTACCTGACACGGATTAGCTCCACTGGTCAATATTTTGCTTAATTGACATTTAAAGTTTGCTTATGAACAACAGGTTTAAATTTTCCTGATTCTTTCATAAGAAAATATTCATATTTTTTTGTTTGGTTTTGTTATTTGTTATGAAAGTTGGTTGTATATTTTTTGTTGACACTGTAAGACGGTGTATTTTGCTTGACACTATTGTTATTTTGCACTTTCAATGATTTTATTGAAATCTGATGGGATTTATTTAGTTAGATAATTTACTGTATCCATTCATGTATTGCTACATGTCTGTTGATTACTTAAAATCATCAAAACAAAATATCGCTCCACACTTTGTTTCAGGATATCAAACATTTTAAAAAATCGAATATGTATAGGCTATAAAGCCGGATTAGTAACAATTTTGACTATCAACAATGGGAGATCACGATTCTTTTTCGTTGAACAAGTTAGTGGATATATGAACTCATTGGTACTGTAATGAATAACACATTATGCGTTTCAAACGATAAGTAGACTACGGTCAAGTTCCAACGTAAACATTAATAATGGTGAGTAGGTATATACGGCTGATGAGTCCAAAACAGGATAAAACCCGAGTCTTAAATCTCACTACCGACCACGTATCAAATATATTCATCTTGATTACTGGTTGATAAGATAAGCAATTAAAAACCATGATATTCTATTAAAATTAGATTGATTTTCATAAATTCTGTTGAGTGGTATATCAATTAAATCGTTCAATATTCCAATTGCCAAAACCATTGAAGGCAACGTTATACTGGTTTTAAACTAGTGATTTATTTTCAAAAATTTAAACAAGCATAGTTTTCTAACCCTTTTGTATAATGACTTCATTCGATCACCTTTCTATAACTGTGAAACGTACCATCTTACCCGATCATCATTCATCCCTTTAATTAATAAACACCTGAATACAAATATGGATGGATAATTCATTTTGTAATTTCTAAATTTATTCATATCAAAAAGAGTACTACCATATACAATGAATTTTAAAATAGTCTATCCAAAAAATTTCGTTCTTTCTTTGTTATTATAGACCTGCTTTCTTTAAAAAGGTTAATAGATTTGTGAAATATACTTGTCTCACTTAATGGATCAACATCAAAAATGCATCACTCAACATTGAACAGATAAGAAACATTTATTCCTAATAGTGGAATTTTGATGCTTTTTCTAATATATTCAAACAGATCATTATGTTCACCAAATAAGTGACCTAATAATTCCAAGTCCTAAGTCAGCTGATCAGTTATCTGATTGTTTTTGGTTGTAAACATATATTAATCACTAGGCAACCGTTAGAGCACTTATACTGGATTAAATGTGTTATATATATATATATATATATATATATATATATATATATATATATTACCAGTAAAGAGAAATTAATTATCTGACAATGACGGTGGATTCCAATAGAATTTTATTTAGTGAAATGTTAACAACAACTGTGAATCGTTCGCTTACCTGTAAATCATTGAAATTGCCATCAACCACAGAGAATATGCAGAATAATTTAAAATCACTTCAACTTTATACTATATTTAATAGTTATAATTCTATCAAGGAATTATGGTTAGCTCATGAACTAATCACTTCAGAGCATGGAAATATGAGAGATGAAGAAACTGGGAATACGTTGCTACATTATTTAATTTTATCGATACCTAAGTTTGCTAAACAATTTGATGATTGTAGTATGATAAATGGAAATCAATTATATCCAGAATGGGCTTCACCTATTGTTGGATTAGTATATCGTCTTGTTGTATGTGGTCGCTGCTCAGTTAATGCACAAAATAATATGGGAAATACAGTGTTGCATTTAATATGTCTTTTACCGTATACCGAATTCTTGGCAATACATTTAATTCGTTTAGGTAAGTATAATTCTAACAAAGTGATATTTGTAATCTCTTTTTAAACAATATTGGTTTTATTTTAATTTAATGAAGTGGTTGCATACAATATTATGTAAATTATGAGCAATGATGGGTAGTGGCTAGCTGACGAGTCCCAAACAGGACGAAACGCGCATCCTCTATTTTACTGTTAGCCACTATCCATCTTTGCTTAGAATGCTTGTGAATTAAGGCAATATCGAGGCAATAAGCATATCATGCACATATGCTAATGGGAGACTGATCAATTGTAGTCCTAAACATTAAAGGGAAGATTCAAGTGAACTATACTAAGTGAATTAGTTGGGAAACCATCCAAACAAACGAAGAATATTGGATAATTATTTTTATCAGAGAGGGATTTTACCACAATATTCACTAAGAACCTTGAAAAACAGGTAGCTAATTGAAGACATTCAGATCTCTTACTCAGCATAATACTTTTAGACTACTGAGGTAGAATTCCATGGTTTAAAGATTGAGTTTCAATTATTTTGTGATAGTGTAACTATGAATTTATATTATTTGATAGGATATTGATCTATCAAAAAATACAGGCTCCCTATTTTTCCGCCGTTCAATGGTACAGTTACGGAAATTATAAATTTTAGCTGTATGTACTCACGCGTTATTATTAATAGGTTGTACATTATTGCGATGGTGATTATTGGGAAGTTCGAACAGAAATACTGAAGTTTCATATACATAGATTGCTGCACTAATCTTCGTTCTTGCCCTCTTTAAAACACTAAAATTTTTGGAGTGTTTTCATTTTTGTTTATCGTTTGAGAAAATGGGATACAAATATGTATTGGAATTCAAGCACCTTGTAAACAATAAATGGAAAAATAGTTGTAGCAGATGAACTGATGGGGAACTTGAATGATTGAATACGAGTGGACGTTACTACCTGTTAAAGGCATTTTTAATGTGTTTTGTGTTATATCCGAAAAAGATGAAATGATTGGTAACTGATAGGAATTATTTATGGACTATTATTACACATATTCGTATTGGGTAATTATTAAGTAATCAGTTTATATATATTCATATTTCTTTCATCATAAGCCTTCATTTGATGCATTAGCTCCTATTATACGATCCACAATTCTTCATTTATTCTCAATTTATCAGTTACAGTATCCCACACTCACAAACGCTCTTGACTTGACCTTGTCCAATTATTATCTTTTATTTTATGTTATGATGTGATCTGCTTTGCTTTCATATAAACCATGTATGTCTAAAATATAATATTTATGTAGTGGAAACTGAAATTGTATTCTTGACCCAACGGGTAAGGCTAGGCGAAAAGTTACTATATTGAGGCCCGATAAGGATTCCGAGTTGACTCAAGACTGATAGTTCTGATTGACGTGTCATTGATTTAGTACAGGAACAAGGTCATATAAGTCGGTGTTTTGATTGACGATTTTGTCACGTGATAATTGATAGGGGCATAAGTCACAACATTTTAAAATAATTATAAGTTGAATACACATTCCGTAGATAATTGTTAAGTTATGACGGTACACAACTGTTCCTGAGATTAATTTTCTGTACCTGATACGCTAGGCCAATCAACCACAAGCTAAGTGATAGGTGAGAGATACTAGCGTAGCAGTCATTTTTGTCAAGATTTGCTCTGACTGTCTAAGTAAATGGGCATACGCTTTTAGTTGCAAATTTGATTTAATTTTCTGAGGGAAGTAAATATACATTTTGTGTGAGTAGTTCATAAATGTTTGTGTTGTATCCTAGTGAAGATTAAAGTACGGGTAACTTCTGAGACCTATTAATGGACTAATACTACATATATTCCTATTGTATAGCTATTCAGTAATTAGATTGTGTATATCTATATTCCTCTTATTATAAGCTTTATTTTGACCTATAGGTTATTATTGTACAATTTAATGTTCTTAAGTTATGTTCAGTTTATTGATTACAGTCTCCCACGTTCACAGACACATTTTGGATTGATCTTGTATGGATGTTATTTCCTATTTTATGGTATGATGAGGTCTGTTTGGCTGGTATATAAACCGAATGTGTTTGAAATAAATGATCCGAATAGTGGGAACTGTTATTGGCATTCTGGACTCAAATGAACGGGCTATGCGGATTAAGGACCAATAAGGATGCTAGGCTGCTCATACCGGTTGAACATCATTGGTTTGGCACAGTACTAAAACTGTATAAGTCGTATTTCTATTGGCGAATAAATCACGTGATAACTAGCCGGGCTTGAAGTCACAACAGTTTGGTTCGTTTTGATCAATAAAATCTTACTACTCACATTTCATTTTCTCACTCAAGAAACTGGTTTAGGGACACACAAATCGAAAGTCTATTAATCAGTAGACGACTCAAAAAGCTGTAAAATATAGGTGTCAAGACTCATGTTGAATAAAACTCCTATTATCATCAGATATTGATTAATTTAGCAACAGTTTAGTGAATTATACCTTGTGTGAAAATGATTTTACGATTGAAATTATAATCAACGAAAATAGAACGAAATACACATGACATGTTTGTTCACTTCTTACGTATTTATTTATAAAGTGAAAAATTCATTTTAGCGATGACAGTAACTGTTCTGGGAAACATCTTATTTTTGTTTGTTTAATAATAATAAAACTGGTAGATTAGTAAGAGTTTCTGAGGATAGTTAGATGTAATTTCAATAGTTGAGATCATGAGTCAATTGAAGCTAGACCACCATGGAAAACTTGGAAGCACTGGACGGCCGATTCGTCCTATTGTGGGACTCCTCAGCAGCGCACATCCATGATCCCACCTCACGGGATTCGAACTCAGGCGCATAAGCTCTCAACCACTAGACCACTGAGCTCACCGGCATTCAACGATGTTAATGTCTCACCTCAATTAATACACGAAATTGAGCGACACATCCACCATTGTCTTCAGTGAGTTACTATCGCACAATAGACCCGGTTGAACTCCACTAGTCACTGCTCCTCGCTAGAACTCCAGCCGGCTTAGTGGTCTAGAGGTTAAGCGTTTGCGCGCGAGACCGATAGGTCCTGGGTTCAAATCTCGCGAGGTGGGATCGTGGATGCGCACTGCTGAGGAGCCCACAATAGGACGAGTCGGCCGTCCAGTGCTTCCAAGTTTCCCATGGTGGTCTAGCTTCAATTGACTTATGATCTTAACTATTAAAATTACTATAATATCCACAAAAACCCCCCTTGTGATAGTTAAATGTATTTTTATGATGTTTCTTCTAATTGATAATACCCTTATAAATGATTCTGTGTCTAATTCGAATTCCAAATACAATACGTTCGATTGAGCTCATAGAGTTTTCTCTGTGCTGAAAACTGGTCCAAACGTGACTACTTGAGTACGAATTGAACAGTTCTGGATATTTCTAGTTAGCATACCGAATTCGATTACTTCTGATCAACATTTAACGTTTTTGTAATCGAAATGTTAATTTCATCGGATGCAATCAAAGAAAAAAACAGAGGTGACGAAGATTGCCTTTAAACTGATCAGTGGTTATACAGTAGTGAGTAATATTATGTGGTATAATTCTGACTACTGACTGAATTCTCTCAATTAAGTTTTCAGTAAATAAGCTGACAAATTTTCCAAGGTAATGTTCATAATTAACTGTCATTAAATTGAACAAATATTAAATATCGGGGAAGTACTGATCACTCGTTTCATTCTAGTTTTAAGATTATTCTTGGTGAAATCTTAAGGTATTGGGTTCAGTCTCATGTGATGTTCTGGCTTCTGTTTACCGAGAATCTTTTAGTTGTAATAAAATGACTTTTCAGTGCTAATCGATTTTTAAATGTCAGTTCGTTTTTGAAAGTGCTTAAACTAAATTACTCAGTTGATAATTCATTGGTGTTTCAAGCTAAAGGTTCAAGTTTCTTTATGAATATCAACACTAGGATCCAGAAATATCCAATTGAAAAGTCACAAATAAGATAAAACGCGCGTCTTCGATTCCGCTGCCAACCGCAAACCGAGTATGGTACAACATGTAACATAACTCTTCATAGCGATGTTCCGCTGATGGTACTCACATGGCAATCGAGACTGATCAATTGGAGTTTTGAATATAAAAACCCTCACAAATAAATATAATCTTTTCTCTCATTTGAAAATAAATCATACACATAAATACAAAGAAAAGACGAAAATAATAGAACAACTTACTTGTGAAGGTAGTTCAGCTAATACTTCGTTTACGGTATTGAGTTACTCAAGACTTGAATTATTGATATAACAATTTTGTAATACATGTGAAAAATGTACGACCTAAACAATTTTTAAACTGAAAAACTTAAAACAATCTGTTATAACATATCAATTCTCTATATCAAGCTGATTATGCATGTAAACTGGCATGAATTCTGTAATTATCATTTTCAGAATATACTATCATTATTATCTACTAAAATGTGTAAATAACTGCTGATACGAGATTATATATATACTCGGTCATGGAACCGGTGGTAACTCTAGAAGAGCTACAGGCGGAGTCATTATTCTGTTTGATATGAACTATTTTTCATTTTTAAGCCAAATTTTATACTGTTTAGCAGTGAATTCAAACTGAGACTGGAACCCAGTATCTTTATTTTTAATACCCTATCAGTAGTTATATTTGTGCTGCCGTGTTTGAAAAGCCATTAATTTGTTCAACAGGAATGAAGTTTATTTCACTTGTAATTGTTCCAATCTTACTTTTGTTGAGACAATCGGCTGAGCATGTACTTTTACCAATAAGCGACTGATAAATCATGTTCATTAATATCAACTATATGATAATTAAAGCCCTTACAACACATTTAATGTTTTTCAGTTTGTTTTTATTCATGGATCTATAAAAGTTATTATGAATTTGTATGTACAGTATGTGACCATAATTGTTGATAAATCAATCATAACCTTTGTTTTTTTTTGTTGTTTAGGTGCTGATCCAGAAATTAAAAATAATTCTGGACTACATGTATTTTATCATTATGAAGAACAAAGAGCATGGTTGGTAAAAAATTTACCTGGTCTTAACTGTGGTATATGGAATGCAAGTAAGTTGTTACTTTTTCAATCACTAATTTATTTAAGTTTAGAAGTAACTATTGTTAAGGGTTTGTAATTTCCAGTTGTTGATCATCAGGGCTGTAATTAATCAGTCTCTATCATTAAAAATATACGTCCTGAGTGAATTGTCTCGATATAGCCTCAAGTCAAAACTTTTAGAGTATTTGGTGTGCGGTTAACAGTGAAATGCATGACTCATGTCTAGTTATATGCAAGAATCAACATCCTGATCTGTCTGGATTTAATTGTTTACAATGAGAATCAAAACTAGTGCTTTTTACTTCAAACTTCGAACATATTATCTACTGAGCTACTGAATCCAGATAGTCACCACATTGTTTAAAGGATATAAGGTATCAGTACATATTTGCATTTTCCGATACTGGCCGCGTAACAAATATAAAATTAGCGTTTAAAAAGTTGAGTATCGAAGTGTCATGGTAGATTATGGTCCATGAAGCATCAATTCTTTTACTATTAATGACAAGTATTAACTAGCACCAAATTGCAAGCAAGACAGTACTTCTTACCAAAGACTTCCAACTACTTAATGATGAAGGTTCTAATTATTAAGATATCTTCTGAATAACTCTACTTTCCAGCCTTGCTGTTCAAACACATCTAGCTGACGATTCATGAATAAAAAAGAATACACTTCTTGAATATTTTGCAGTCGTATGTGTACCCACTTATTTATTCTCTCCTATTCAGTAAAACGAGAAGATATGATTAAAATGGATTATTATTTATCATGTTGGTGTCGAACAATAGCAAACCAATCAAATGGGAAAAGTTTATTCGAGTGTTCAATGTCCACTGGGAATTATGAATTAGTTAAACATATAGACCAAGCACGTAATACCAATGAATTAATTGCAGCTGCAATGGCGTTAGACTTAAATTATATGGAAAATCTTTTATCAATTAAATTTGGTAAGTTAGTGTAGTTTTTATCTGTTCGATAAATTTATTTATGATTCCATGACTACATTCAATGAAATCAGTCAGTTTACAGAAATTTTACAAAAGTTTGTGAGCATAATCTCAAGTTCCATCTTCTGATTTTTTTCCATTGTTTTTACTGGATTAATTGGAGTTATTTTAAGTTTTAATTCATAAATGTTACCTGAATTATTCTGTTGTGAATGCTGCTCACAAGATTGCTTATAAGTAGTACGTAGCGGGACGTCGCATGCTACACCTGATAGACTGAGAGAAGAGTTCCAGGAGGTCAGGAAGCACGGTGTATGCAGAATACTTTCGGTACCAGAAGAGAAGCTAGAGAAGATAGTTTAGAATCATTTTGAATTGCAGAACACACAAAAATATCCAGATGGATGACTAGAGATTATGTGAACATATTTCATAAATAATCTACAATCTCTGTAGGCAAATATTCCTCCTGCTTTGTGGCTTGTTCTACATTTGGTGTCACTTCCCGAGGACAAGACAACGGTGTCATGACTTCAGCCGTTTGAAGGTGAGGATATCAGGAAATTCCTACCGCAATCCCTGATCGTTGCGGAGATGGTTGGAGTATCGAAGTAGCCGTGACGTGATCAATGAACTTAAGCCATGTGAAGTCTGAGACAGTCATCCAGTCAATGAACGAGGATTGGGCAACATCGTGAACTGATTGAAGTTAAATGTTAGCATCATTAGGTGCCAGTTCAGTGGTTTGGCGGTCAAGCGTTCTCACACGAGACTAAAGGCCTTGTATTCGGTAATCGGATATGGGGCTTTGGATGGGTAATGTCGAATGGTCTCATACTAAGATGAAATGTTTGTTCGGTGCTTCTAGGTTTTCAATAAAGCTCTAGCTTAGATTAGTTTTGTGATTTGAACTATTAAAATTTATCAAGAGTTCAGGAATTATGGAATATTTTCATTTCAGAAAAGGAAAAATGTCAAGTCAATAAATGTGACAGAAGCTTCGACCCCCCACGTCCATTGACTGCTGAATTGGCGATCGTTTATGGGGATAAAGCAAATAAAGCAATTGAATTACTTAAAAAATATGGGGCAGTGGATGAATCAATTTATTACGGTAAGGAGAAGTTAACTTATGAATCGATCTTGAAATAAAATGACAAGGCACAAGTTTGTATACTAGAATTTAGAGACCACACGATTTTCATGTGTATGGCAACTAAGTGAAACTGTAAAGTTACTCATATCCAGAAATTAGTCACTAAAAAACATATGATTAGCTTTATGGTCACCTGTAGAAAACGATTTCTTTTCTTTCGAACAGTGAATTAGTACTCCTGATGAGACGAAACTGGAAACCAGTAATCACTGGTTTTCAAGTGTTCTTTAGTCAAATTCATTTTATGTAACAGTGACTGCCTTTTCATAGGGAGTAAACCTAAATCAATACCATTCTGGTATACTGGTGTTGACCAAATAACATATACTGAGGCAATCTTCCTCTCTTTAGTATTATTTTGACTATTGGAATGCAATGACACTATTCAATTCACACTTAATTTTATTAGTTACTGCAGCTTCCTAAATATTAGAAATTGGCGAACAAAAAATAGATGGAACTGTGAGAACTATATATATACCGTAATTAGTTGGCGCCAAAATATAATGGGTTTAAAAAATCAATTCTAACATATAATGTGACGTTTACTTATTTCATTGTTTTCTCCTGCGAGACAAACTTTAAAATTTTGTTTTTTATCTCCTTATTTTTTTGCGGTTGTCATCAGCTAATTTTCCTTTTCTATTAATCATTCTAGCTATCTGTCTACTTACACCCTTCTTATTTGAACTAGCCCGTTAAACTTCTAAGTTGATCAATATTAATTTTACTAAATTAAATGACATGATAAGAACAAAGCGAACGGAAATTGAGCATCAAAGAGAAACTAAATAATGCTAATGTGATAAGATATAAAAAAGGATTATCAGAAGGAAGACTTAGTATCTCTGCAAGTTTCGTCCCATGTCAATTAGGAGATTAAACAAACATCTTTTTGGATAGACCATTCATGGTTAAAAATGTCAACCGATATGGATATCGCATTTACAATAATCTAAGTTGCATATATTCTCCTAGTCATGTAAATTTACCAGTTAAACGTGATTTTACGGACTGAGAATGTTATCACTGTGAAAGGAAGGACTTCCTTTTGGTAAATATAAAAAAAAACGAAATTTTAGATCACTATTTTGAAAGTGTTAATTTCTGAGCATACATGTGAACCTGATCTCCTTCTGAAACTCACATCTTTAATCGGTAAATCTCTAGAATACCTCGAACGTTTTTCATAACTATCCAAATATTTGATACTTTATCACTGTCCGTTTGAGGTAGAAAAAGCTTCATGGTTTTCTTTTATCTTTGCTATTGGTAAAAAGAAATTTACTAGGGGATTAGAATGTAATTCTATTAGAGAATAATTGGTTTTATTCCCTCTAGTTTCTGAATTATGCAACAATCTTTTTGATCAATGTTTTTATTTTATTCTTTACAAAACAATCAGAACTGATTCAATTTAAATGATTTGAATTATCCAGATGCTGATATTTTTGACTGAAATTTGATCAGTTTTGTTTGGGATATGGATATCCTGTGCAGATTGCCTTGATATAGCCATGATGACACACTTTGATATAAAATACATGGTATGTGGCTAGCAGTGGAATCAGGGAAGCGCTTTTAGCCCTCTTCAGCTGGATGTACCTGCCTCCCAAAGTTGATGTTGGTGAAGTGAACATCAACTCCAGCTGCGTTCTGAAAGAACTTTCTAGATTCCACTGTTTGCCACATTCGATTTATTCTATAGCAATAAGAACTGTTCAATTAATTAAAATTTTCATCAATGTCTATAGATTAATGAGTTTAATAACTGTTTTGTTTACATTAGAGTCAGTAGAACAAAGGAAAATGGCTTTCGTAAATTCACCATTTTATTTACAAGTTAAGACCGCGAAAACAATTGCTGATTTAAACAAAGCATGGAAATTAATTGAGTATTCATCATTCCAGTCAAATCTAAGAAGGCATACAGATCAAGCAACTTATTTACACTACTTAGTTGAACGGTAGGTCTTGTAAACTCTTGAAAATGGATTTTATGCATACTTAAAATGATGAAACCATAATTTACTTATACGATTGTTCTTTTTTATTTTTGTGTGTCTACAAATGTCAGATATAATAAGGTAGTTTATGCATAAATATCCTCAGTAGAGTCTTGATTACAATCAGTTGTGAATCATTAACTTTAGTCAACTGTCAGCATTTCGCGATCATCATCGTTTGTTACCAGTGATACTTGTGTCACTGTCAGTATAAACCAACCATTGCTCAATATTTCTAGTTTTTCAGTGGTTCTTCTAACTAGAGTTATTTATTAATGTAAACTATCCACAACTAACTGGTAAACGTTACAACTCACCTTTCGAAATTCAATGAAACTATATTTTGTAGTTTACATTATGGATTGACCTTTGTCAGACATCCAATGAAAACCAGTAAGTTTTGGACTTCTACCTTGTCCTGATATGAGGCACTTCCACGATATTCATCCATGAATCCAACTAAGAATTGAATCCAGGAGCTTCATGTATTAGGAAGAGCACTTAACCCTTGGTCCATTGAGTTAATACCCAGTAGTTCACATCTCTAACTTTAGTCATTATCATCATTTTCTTATTAGTAATTGACTTCGAGAGGTGATCCTTAAGGTTTGTAAGTAGTAGATTACAACCATATCATGCTTGACGTAAACATCACAAATGATAATAGATTATAATTTCAAAATATTAGGAGTTGACTGAAGTTAGAAATACAAACTGGCAGATGCCAGCTCAGTTGTCTATAGATTGATCTGACGTCGCAAAATCTGGAGGTACTAGATTCAATATCTGATCGAGTTGTGGATGAATCGTCCTATTCTAGGATCAAATATCTGTCCAGTACTTTCTGAATGACAATGATTATCTAACTAAAGTCAATCTAATGTAATCTAATGAAATTACACAGCCTCTACGAACCCATTAGATGAATATATTTCTATTCATCTTGTCTCATTTTCGTAAATTATTTTCTCCAGTTATAAAAGTTTAAAACATCAACCTCATTTACAATGTGGTTTAATTCGTCTTATGGCAAAACTAGTCATAGCTGGTGCCGATCTACAAGCACGTGATAAATTTGGAAATACTGCTTTACTTTATGCCGCAAAATCGAATACTTTTCCAGATAGAGATACTAACTCAATACAAGCTGACGAATCAATACCTAATCAGATTGACAAAGAAGTTGAAAGAGAAGATAAAGTTGAAGATCGGGTGGTGTTGGACACAGTTGGGAAAATTGTTGAGGAAACTATTGAAACTGTCGATATAAATGAATCGTTATATAATTCAACTATCAATGATGATGTAAAACATTTGGTCATGGATGAAGACCGTAATGAAATGGGTTCAAGTAAAAAGACATTATTGTCCATATCTGTTTCAGATCATTCAAATATGTCAGTAAAAAATGAATTATTTCATCCATGTATGATGAATGTACCGGATTTTAGTGATCAACGTTTGATTTCTATTTTAATTCAGTTAGGTAAATTAAAATGTCTTGTTTTTATTAGTTTAAAATGTTTATATTTTATTGAAATATTAGACATAAAATATTGAACGAAATGAATTCAGTTGATCATATTAAGCAACTGTAGGACATCAAAAAATGATTCACATAAGTTATTTGAATCATTAATATCTGAGTAAAGAGTACGTTACTGCTTAATAGCACAAAATAAATTAAAAATGATTTGTGCTTCAGAGATTATAGACTAACCATTTCATTCTAAAGGTTTAAACCACAGGACAATGGAGTAATTCAAAAGAAGCATTTTCATGGTAATAGATGAATAACGCCAGTTCATAAGTCACTTATTATTATATTATCCCAGAACATATGTTTAAAAAGAGAGTTTCTAATTATCGTAAAATTCTATAAGTGAGTTCCATGAACCAAATCAAAGTTATCCTGAAAACGAGTGTTTGTCTTGTGGAATTACTGTTGACTGATAAATGCAATGTATATAAAGTTATCCATGTCAAGTAGGCATAATCTATTTACTTCTTCAATTGTCAGGAATACTTCTTTGAATATCATTAAAAAGGCTTGATTGGATACTTTTCAGTATATGTGATTTTACACGGTTTGCTTTCAAGACAAAAACGTAACGTTTTTGTGATGATGAGCTATTCAAGTTATGAATAATTACAATTTATAATTTATCGTTTCCGAAAAATGTTTAAAAAGGGCTTAAAACTCTGTTTTTGAACTTTGGAACTTAAAAATCTATGAGAATAAGTGCTTACCAGACAAATTACATTCATAAATTTAAATAAAACAAGAACAAGAGTTGTAGTGGTAAATGGTTGAATAGCTTTTCAACTAGAGATATTTTGTAGTTTACTGAAGGCTATTGAGATTCACGTACGGCCCAATCTGTGTCCTTTAGATAAATATATCTTTCCAATCGGTCAGTTGTATAGTCACGTAATAAGATCTAGGGTGAAGAATATGTTGTCATGTTTGAATTTAGTTGTATATCTGATATTTATTTATGGCATATCGAGGAGTTTCAATAAATAGAAAGGATATTTATAATCACTATAAACAACGAATATAAAATTTACAGTATGGGGTTGTGGAGAATGTTGAATTTCATTAAAATCATGAGCCGATCTTAGTTGGACCTCTATCGGTAATTTGAAAGCACTGTTTCGTCCGCCGTTTCGTTCTAATATGGGACTTCTCAGCAGTGCACATCTGCAATTCCTCACGTGGGAATCGAACCCAGGAACTTCGGCCTCATGAACAAACGTTTAGCCTCTGAACCACTGAGCCGGCATTCAACTGTGTTGATGTCTAACTTCAGTCAATCCACGACAATCAGAAATTTTTCATCATTGTCTTCAGTGAGCGACTGCCTTGCATCGTACACAGATTATCTCTTCCGGTCACTGCTTCTGATTAAAATTCCAGAGGATTCCATTACCAGGATGAAATGGCTGTTCAATTCTTCCAGGCTTTCAACGGTAGTCTAACTTAGAATGGCTTATGATTTTAATGAACATATAAACATACCTGGAATACAACATTGTGTGATTGATTATCGCTCTCATAACTGTTTGTTCTATGCTTGGCATACAGATTTCTGCTAGTTTTGAGCCCATTTGGCTATCAGTTTAATCATTATTATTTTTGCGCCATTCAATTAATGAGTTTATTCAATTAGTGTATTGAAGCAACTTAATATATTCATCAAAACTATTACTTAATTAGTGCATTTCTTATTCAAATGAATGATTAACTGTATAATGGTTAGAGCGAAAATACCATAATTCCAAGTAAGTAGGTAGAGTGGATTCAAATGGATACAGTAGTTTAATGTTAGTTTGTAGTACAATGTTCAGAAAATAAGAACCAGTTCAATATATAAAACACAGTAATTTTGAAACTTGCCCAATAAAGAGCCATAGTTGTCAAGTATTGATCTGTGAAATGACATAATAGATTTAATGTTCAGATGTGTACTTTCAGTGAGCAAATTCGGTTGATTCAGTTACATGGCTAACTGACATCTGTAATACTGCGTGAACATTGTCATTAGATAGCTTAAACAAATATTTGGTTCATATCACAATGTTAGTTCTAATTATTGAAATGTCCACTTTAGGATAAATATTCAATGCAAAACTCCATTTAAACAAGTTAGATTTATCATTTATTGAATGTTTGAGTACATATTGAGAATAATTTAATACCAATGTTATCAATCATTAATTTGTAAAGGACAAATTTTTTTTATTTTCTTAATACTAATTATCTTTAAGAAGACTGAAAAGTGAACCAACTGTTACTAGATAGTTCAACCAAGCTTTCATCCATTTATTCACGTTATATAATTCATTTACATATTAAGATCATTAAAATCCTCCACTATATTTTTCTGTAGCTTCAAACTTTGCACATATAGTTCATGGGGCATCTTCTAAACGTAAACATCCATATTACTACAGATAAACTCATATGATTTTTGAAGCTAAACATACTTGGATATAAGTAAATGTTCAGGTATTTTAACGTTAAACTTAACAATGAAGTTAAGCACGACTAATAACATATATCTGAAGAAAACAAGAATTATTAGCACGATAAAATCTATTGAAAGATACAAATAACAGATTGTTATTTGATAATTTCTTAAAGTGGTATAGATAAAAACAGAGTTGAAATATTTGCTGACGTACATATATGTAAGTACCTATGATCCTTTAGTTAAGAATAAGTAAATCTTAGTAGTAAGGTATGAGACCATGAATGTTATTTCGATAATTCTCTATAATCTGCTGCTTTTTCATTTATAAAATATATTAAAAGCTAGCTTACAAGCAGTAGTTTCGTACATCATATAATATATATTTAAATATCAGGAATATTTGAATGACTATTTACACCTAGGGTGGTCGTGGATAGTTACTCTTGATTAATTCCGTACAATGTATAATTGGATGCTTCTAGTGTTCCCTGATTCTCATAAGATATTTTGTCTAAAATTATTCACTTATGTGAACCATCTTCTAATTGGATAATCAATATAGAATCTTTAATCCTCGTAATAATAATAATGATGATAATAATAATAGTGATTTTATTTCCATCATCATTTTCTTTAAAAACATTATTCCAGGTTCAGATTGCTCCATTCCATGTAAAAATGGTTATTCTGTATATAATGAAAATTATATTCCCAAAGGTGCATATACAATTAAACGAAATATTCAATCAAGTTTATTAAAAATTAGTATAAAACGTTCTAAAGGATTGATAGATCATCCGGGAATTTGGCCAATTGTTGATAGATTAATCTATAGTGTACAATATCATAAATCCAATGATATTATTAACTATTTCTGTACAGAATTAGAGAATACAATTAAAGATAATTTAATTTGGTTAAAAGCTAAACGATCAGGGCTAACTGTTATAGAATGGATTAACTCATTATGGACTCATGATCGATGCAATCAATGGATAGAAGGAATACGTGAAAAATTAACAAATCTATTACAGTATTATGCTAGTTTAACTGATTTTGTGATTTATTCTATGGCTGGTGATATTCAGAAATTGAAACAATGTTTAGGTAGGTATATTTCATATTCATTCATTTAAGGTTTACATATATATTTTGTAAGTATTGTACTCGTTGAAGCTTTCATCACCAATCTAGACAATAACATTAACACATACTTCGAAAAGAAATGTACCCTTAGAATTCATTCACAAGCGAGTAACAGCTTGTCCTGTTGCTTTGCAATTTGATTGGTTATAGGTTTGGTTTGAAGGATTAGAGAAGAAATTAGTGAAGTTGAAGGTGTGATCAATTTTGTACCACAACCAATCAAATTTCAGGTTATTAGAATAAGCTGTCAATCGATTGTGTAGAGATTCTGATAACTCATTTCTTTTTTGTTGTGTGATGATGGTGCTAACTAAAAAGACAACTGAGGGAACATAGCACTTCCAAAGTCCCCCACCTTAACCATAAATATTCTTCATCGTAAAAAACTTGTTGGTTTATTAGTCTATGTTTAAAATTTTTGATTATTATGACAAAACACCCGCCACTATTTTATCATATATTACTATATTTAGTAGCTAACTTAACTATATGTGGTTGTATATGGTTGTACAGACTAAGTAAATGAAATCATCCAAGTCAAAATTTTCTTACCTAAGTTATTTTTAACTCAACTGCATAGACGCAATGGATTTCTTTCGTCATACTTGTTCATGGTCATAATGTTAGTAAATTTTGAGGATAGTTTATATTTTATATCGACGAACATAATCCATTACATCAGTGAACAAAATGAAAAGATGGTACAATATAAAGAATTTCTTGTTAACGATCTCATTCACTTAAACTGCATAGTTGTATTTAAAGTTAAGCTTTTAAATACTGCACTACATAATAAAGCAGACGAATATTGAATCATTTAACCAACTAATGAAAAATCATTAAACAATTTCAGTTACAAGTTATAATTTTAAAAACAAGGTGACTTATTTATTCTCTGAAGTAGAGACTTACACTAAATAGCGAAACGTCAGAAAATTAATTTTCTACTCATTGGGATATTATAAATGTAGCAGTTTTATTATGTGTTGAGTAATAGCCTTACCACTAATAAGAAGTAGTGATTTGTGGAATATGTACATGTATGTAGGCACCGATGCTGTAACCTTTGGTTAATGTCAAACATTATAGATCGACTTTGGTTTGACAATGCTGAAACGAAAATTTATTTTCAAATACTTTCAACATGGTTTTACTTGAAATTTGAAAAATTAATTTCAAAGCTTGACAGTAATTATTAGCAAATGATAACATTTGATATCCCGGATGAGTTCTAATAGATCACCTTCTGTTAGAAATTGTAAAGATCACATGCTGTTTCAGAAGTGCTTAGTAAATGAGAAATGTGAGGGGTTACTGTAATTGATAGGATTATTCATTTGTCCAAGATCTACATAGCTGGTTGAGCAAGCGTATATTGTGACCAAATGAGGTCGTAGAACACAACAGTACTGTTTGAATGATTGTTTATAGAGATTTTTTCATATTGAGGACAGTTTTTGTTATTTACTAATATTACTCGACGAACCATGAATCATAGTTATCTAACAGAATAACTGTTTATTGACGGTTATAAGTTATTAGTATGGGGATTTACCTTGTTTATTTTACCTGAAATAAATCAAATAATTTTGCAAATATATAAAATAAGAATAATTTATACTTGCGGACTTGATCTCACATGTATTTTATTTATTTTCCGACGTAAAGCTATGGGTAAAGGTCAATTGAAAGCTCAACTTCACATGCAAAAGTTTCTAGTTGGTATTAATAATAATGGAAGAGCAAATTTTATAACACGTCCATTACTTGTTAGTATAATGGAATATTCTACGGCAGAAGTGTTACAACTTATGATTCATTCTGGAGCAAATTTAAGTGAATACTATTTAGGTTAGTTTATGATAAATTATGAATCAATTTATAAGTTTATTTTATAGAAAAAAGCTAATACATAGTTTCGTACTAGCTTGAAAGTCATTATCCTTCCATAATCCTCTACACGATATCGTTATAAACTCGGAATCGTATAGTCAATTAGCTATCACAATAGGTGGATGCCATTAAGTCAAACTTACTGTTCATAATTCCAAGTTTAGGGTAAAAAGTCATCTAATAATGCTACACGTGATAATTGTCATAATATCAATATGATTGAATTACACCAGTTATGACTTCTTCCTATAAACATGGGAGTGAAATTTGACGTTGAACATTAGTAATCGGAATTAGCCGTTCAGTGCTTCCTGGTTTTCATTGGTTGTCTCAAAGATTTCAGTTCATGATGAGTACTGTTTTCAAACTGAACCATTCAGCTAAACAAAATCAGATTATAAATTTGTTTGGTAATTATCAACTCTGTTTTGAATATAGGTAAAGTTTCCCAACGTCAGTCATTATATTCATATAATTGTTAGTTCGGTTAATAATATTTAATCTAAAAATTTTAATTATTTGTTTCCATAAGATTTTATTCAATATGAATTGGAATAAGGCATAAGTGGATTGACAACGCGACGAAAATTAATTGTGTTAATGCTAAAAATTCCCAGACTGATTACCATTCTTTATTCAGGGTGAAATAGATAGTCTAATACTAAATTTTTTCCCTAAAGAAAATTGTCCTTTGACTACAGTTACGACAAACAGTTTCATTCGTCTGTATCCATCACATTTCATTGAACCTGATTTGTTGTAACAATATTGTGTAGGTGGTTTTTGTCATGGATTCAAAACATTCTGGTTACCATTACAAACCACGAAGCATTGTATATCTTCCTTCTCTCAAAACAGAATATTTAACGGTGCGCTTTGTTGATATCTCTAAGGAGTGAATCAAAAGCCTACAGGTCTCACTATGAGTCATCAACTTCTATACTATTAAATTGGTGTCCAATTATCTACAGTTTAAAATCCAGTTAACTCTCAGTATAAAACAACCGTCTATTATCGTCGGTGGTGATTCCTAAAATGTTTGGACTTTAGTCACAAGTTTTCACCAGAACCTTGAAGATTCGTTTCGAAGTACGTCAACAGTGGATACATAATTCCACTTTCGCGGAAAGGTTTCGTCGTAATTTGTTTAATTTATAAGTGATTTATTATAGCAATTCTTAAGAGTCGTAAAATCAAAATTTCCGGAATGATGTTTTTCGGAGAGATATCTATTCAGACTCATTTATCAAGGAAATACTATCGTAATTAATATCACTGCCTAATGGTAGTATAATCTCGGTCACTAGTCGCATAGTCGAATAATAGTAGTGTCATAGTAAACATAAAGTGATTTATTCTACCATTATATGAAAACCTGAGACGTAATTGTTGAAAATCGATTTTTCGAAGCACTAAACTATTATTCCAACATCATAAAAAAGGGATTGAAACGTGGTATAATCAGCGAAATAATTTCGGAACCAAAAACGAACGAATGAACAGTTGTTTTTATTTTAATTTGCAGCTCCACATCAGTGTTCACTCATAGTAACATTGAGAACAACATTTTCGTAATTCATGGTAAATGTGGTATCTTTTGACAGCCTGGTCTGAATCCAACGGTCCACATTCTATGTTTTAATTTTAGTGAATTAATTTTCTCGGAGAATATTACAAAATAGACATAATCGTATTTGTATTGTTTAAACATTTTTCAATAAATAAAAATAAGCTTTATATAAACAATACTTGTTGATCAATCTTATTTTGATTCAGAAAAAGAGCCGTTTGGTCCGGTTGCATTTTGGAGTTTTAGAAACCTTGTCAGTCTTCAACATACTTACGAAGTAATCAAAGAAGTACCAGTTCATTTAAGAGATTCAAATGGATCGTCTTTATTTCATTACGCAACAAATCTTTTTCGTACAATACATCCTAAAGATGTAAATGGATATCGATGGGCAAGTTTAATTTTAGCTACAATATTGAAACGAGGTGTGAAAATTTATCACAGAGATATTTGGCAACGTACTGCACGAGATATTTTGAATAGATCAATATATGAATTAATGGACAATAACAATGTTCATTGTGAAACTGGAGAAAATTTCAGACCATTCGAAGAAGAGGTATGCAAATTTTAAGCAAGAAATCTTTTGAAACGATTTACTTTTTGGTAAATTAGTTATATATATATACTCTTAGTTTGAATCAAGGATCACCACTGAAAACCTGGGAGTACTGGATAATTGTTCCGTCCCTGTATGGAACTCCTTAGCAGTGCGGATCCACGACCACGCGTCCGGGAATCGAACCTACTGGCCTTAAGACGCAACTCCCGAAGTTTTAGAAGAGGCAGCGGCCACTAGAGTTTAAACATTTCAGGTGAGGTGGTTATCCACCCCATGCAGTGGGTGAAAGTTACGTATGTTAACACCGTTAGATCCCAGCTCATCGATCTAGAAGTTAAACATTTTAGTGATGAAATAGAAGTCCTGAGTTTGATCTCCTGTGGATGGGTCATAAGTAAACACTGCTGAAACATCCCATACTTGAGTATAATTACCATGTGACTAAATCACACTATCAAGAAAGTCTGTTCAGTAAGAAATCTATCCTAATAGAGACTGATTAAGACTGTAATCCTAAATAACGACTATAGGAGATTATAAGATTTTACAGATTTTTATTTGTCTTCTTATTACTGATATCTTATGTCTTCAGAAACTTGTTTTATATTTGTACTTTTTTCCCATTACATTTACAGTCACCAGATCCTTTCGAACTTCATGATATTATCAATCCAGAAACTGGGAATTTATTGACTGCTGAACAGTTAATTGATCGCCATGTAGCTTTTCTAGCTTCTGGCAATCACTTACAATCTATGGAAGAATTAATTCTGTATGGATATAATTATATACATTTAGCTAATTCTGGACCTGTACGCTTTAAATCTGCTAGATTATTGGCTGAACAAAAAGGACATCATGAAATGATATTTTTATTAGATACTGTTGATCAATATCGAACAGAAATGATGGAAGTTCACAAGACGATTATAACCGGCGATTATCATCAATTTTTACGTCTGGTTAATAACAAAAGAGTTATTATGGGTAAGTAATAGTATTGTTATTCTGATTAATTTTCAAATAGACAATTCCATGTAGAAATTGTAATCTGTGATGTTAGTCGAATTGGTAATACAATTAATATATCTTGAGTACTGACTAAATCTTCACACGACTACAGCTACACTTGTCTGGCCGTTTTATTAAGAACCCGATGCCAATAAAAAAGTGTAATAATACATAAATAGAATTTGGAAGAATTCGTTTATAGTATTAATCAAACGATTTTATATGAAATGTCTAATTGTCTGTCTTCACTCACTGACCAATAAAAGCTTATTTTGTGTGAATGTAATACCAAAACAAATGATTTACACTAAGGATCATCATATTGAATCAAAACGTACTGTAGATCGACAATTTAGACCATTAGATTGATGACGAAATATTTGAAAGATATTAAATTCAGAAGGTTTGATATGTGCTTTGATTTAAGCATATTTAAGTGATAATGATAATAATCATCAAAGCATTATTCAAGACGAAGAAGAATGGAATCACGATGTATATTATCCAGTGTTATACACCCACCTATGATAGCAATAACGACAATGAAGATCAGTTCAGATAGCGAAATGCTCAGGAAAGGACCTGACCATCCTGATGGGAGACCTGAACGCCAAAGTCAAAATGGACAATACTGGGTATGAAAGTAACATGAGATGACATATATTGTGAGAGAGGAACGAGAATAGTGAGAGATTTGCCGATTTACGTGCCTTCAATAAAATGTTTACAAGTGGTACAATATTCCTTCACAGTCACATACACATAACCACATGGGTTTTACCGGATCACATTACAGTAGACCAGATCGACCATGTTTGCATTAATCAGAAGTTCAGAAGGTCAATGTAAAACGTGAGAAAAGAGAGAGGAACTAAAACAGATTCATATCATTAGCACACAGACTTTCCTAAAGCTGTCACTCCATAAACGATCGAAGAAATCGGGATGGTAATCAAAGAAATCAAAAGTGGAAAAACAATAGGATCTGACAATATACCACCTGAAGCACCGAAGTCACAAAGAGAAATAACTGCAAACATGCTCCACATTCTATTCAGAAAAATTTGGGAAGAAGAACAAGTGCCATAGACAGACTGGAGAGAAGGACATATCATCAAGATACCAAAGAAAGGAAATCTGAGCAGATGTGAGAACTACTGAGGTATCACACTACTGTTGGAACCGAGGAGAATTTTCGACAGTGTATGGTTGAACCGGATGAAAGATTCAGCGAACACCTAACTTCGAGATCAACAGACCGGGTTCGGAAAGGATCGGTAGTTCACAGACCAAATTACGACATTACGGATCATCATTGAAGTGTCGATTGAATGGAACTCACCACTATACATCAACTTCTGACCACTTGATAAGATTTCAGCAACCACATACAGGTGTTATCCGGTTGTTTCTATACTACACAATACTCGATAATATGCAAGAGAAACTCCACTAACGACTAAGAAGGACAACCAAAATCTTCACTGGATACAAGAACAAATACAAATGCACCTTAATTCACTGAGTAAATATGCAAGTGGATTTTTCACATTTAACTATTTTCCATTCAAACTCGGTACTTGATGAAAGTGATCTTCAACTTCAACTAACAGCAGTAAACTATTCAGTTAAGTGTTAGTATAAATCTCAATCCTGATGTTGTTCACAGATTTTTCATTCATGCATAAGATTCTTCAGCAATACTCAATTAACGACGTCACCAGGAATCGAATCCATGACTTTCGGATACCACGGAGAACGCTAAACCAATAGACCTTGGAATAAGCTACCAGTAATACGTATTTCCAACTTCAACTGATCAATGCTTTAGGATGACAATAAGTTTCGTTGGTACCGCAAATGAGATAATTTCACGACGAATATCACCATCAAATTCACTTAATTTTTGCAAAATAACCTCAATAAGTCAATTGTAGTGTATTCTATAAATGTTTGATGATCGAATAATAATTTTATATGTAAAAATTCATCCATAGATTAGGTCATTCTAAGTAGCATACCTTAAATACCATATAATTAAAGTTAAAAATGGAGATCCAATTTAGTCATTGGGAATTATATGAAAAATAAAGAAAATATAGAGAATTATTATCGGTATCAAGGTTTTTGGAGATCAGTCAATGTTTTTGAGATTATTAACTGTCCTGAGCTAGCTAACCATTGAAAACCAAGAAGTACTAGATTGATGTTCCGTCTTAGTTTTAGAATTCTTATAAGTGAGCATCCACAACCCTTTTGTAGTTTCAAGCCAGAAGCTTCAGGTCTCATTGTGAGAAGTTAATCTTTAGACCAATGAGCTTGTATTGAACAGTTTAAGAACCTCGATACTGATATTTATTATGTTTTTACTAGTGACTGATGTCATCAGGTAATTTAGAGAGTTCCAGTGAGAAGCCATGACCAGTTCAGCCATGTCGGATGTGAAGTAATAGAAGATTGTTGTGGAATATCTCTGATCAATTGAAGTTAGAAATGCAAACCTTTGCATACCATTTCAGTGTTCCAAACGTTAAGCTCTCACTAAAAGACCTGAAGTTCCTAGGTTTGATCCCTAAAAGTGAGGTTGTGAATAAGCAATGTTGAGATGTCTCATACTAGGACGAAGACGCTGTTTAGTGTGGTTTAACGTTTAGTAATTGTCTGACTTAGGCTATTTTATGATCTCAGTAACAATATTATTCCACACTGTTCTTGATAATAAAGTATAATTCAATATTTATAGGATAGATCTAATATAGGTACATTTATAGTCAATAATTATTGGAGACCTTGACTAGTTCAACACACTACTATAAAGGTCGTTTTTCGATAAGTTCTATGATCAGTTTTCAATATTTGCTCAACAGTGGGTCAAGATGAATGTAGTTTAAGTTTAGTTCACTTTGATAACCATTTAAACAGCTGTTTCGTCCGAGTATGTTGCCTACGAGTGAACCTATGATCCCACTAGGAATCCAGCCCTGGACTTACAAGTTTCGGAGTGAACCTTTTACCATGGGAAGCTATGGGTCAATATTAGATGATTCAACTCCAGATTCAATCAATTTGTGATGTAAGGCGATGATTACCTAATGTTGCTGATGACAATTGTTTCACTTCTGACATGTTCAAACTCAACCAGTCAGTGCCTCTCACTAAAAATTTAGGAACTACTTGAAGTAATTCACCAGCGCTACTTTCATTCATTACAAGTGAGCTTTATTATTCATTACTGGTAACATCTCGGTGACTGTAATCATAAAACAAATCAATAAGTTTCAGACATGCTAGAAGTGAAACATTGTACTAAATGGACTAATCTGCGTGAAACATCTTAAACCAAACTCTAATAGACAGTATGCCAGTAAATTCATTCAAGATATTTCTTTAGTTCCCCTGAGAAGTTGTAATTAATGGGATTCAAACACGTTAGGAATGAAGCAGTTGTCGCTAATGATGTAAACATTATTTGTTTGACAAAAAACCGTTAAATATGAATGTCATAGCCTTCATACCAACTAATAAATTTTTATAGATATCCATACGTTACCAATGCTTCAGTTAAAATTTTGACCTCATTTTCTAATATAGATATTTGTCCGATATTACTTAAACAAGTGGCCATTTGTATTATAATAATTTGTGAACAGTGACCAACTGGGATACTTGATAAAAACAATCAATTGTTTATCTAATAGAAAATCAATGTAGGCGTAGTTGCAACAGAAATTTTCTAAACTTCAGTTAAATGCATTCAAATGTATAACGAGATGAAAGATATATTATGAAAAGTTATACTTTGATTTCTGAATATTCAATGGCTCAAAAATCGTCTAGTTTCTTCTAGTATTAGGTAAACTTGTCATCTTATCACAACTCGGACTCCTTTCTCCAACTTGTTTCTTCAAAGATTAAGAGCAAAACATTTTTAATATTTGTAAGTATTTGAATCTTCCCCTTGTTGATATTGAGGACTATTCAAGGATCATGATCTAGTGTCATATGTGTATCCTATACTCATTGACTTGACATTTAGTCACAAGATTTAGTAAAATTTGATTATAGTTGATTATTGTTGTTTCGCTCGTCGGCTGCATCTACCTACTGGGTTCGAGTCACAGTGAGAATATTAATAATGGGATCCAAGTCAATTCAGTTGATGAATCCAAAACAGGACAAAACGTGCGACTTGAGTTTCACTGATAGCCACTATCTGAATTTACCGATAATCTTGAATGTAAAGGGGATATAGATGTGTTTTTTTTCTTGTAATAAACAAAGTACACATTTATTTAGCGCGTATTTACGTTTGTGTCACAAAATGATATCTTAGTATTCTAAGGTAATGAATAGATTTTTGGATTGCAAGTTAATATCTATTTATCATGTCACAAAGTATATGTGTTATAGATATGATATTTTAATGGATCATTCAATAATCGATGATTATTACTTGTCCAAACTTGTTTGATAAACATAAAACACGAAATGTGATTATATCTGTAATAAATTTTAGAATTCAACGGGTTTTATTTGTATGGAACAGAGATTAAAAAATAAAATAATTATGACTGTATAAACAGTAGGTTTTATTTATGAAAAAGAACTCACTATATTGAAAGTGATATTCGTGTCACAAATAGGATTAAAGTATACTTTACTTACGAACTTCTATAATGTAAAAATTAACGTAGGAAAAGTGAAGTCTATTTTTTAGCCAATTAGAATACATGTGGTATAAATGAGTAAAATCTGAAAGATCATAGGGTTAGAATTTAATAACTAGATAACTATTGGTCATTATTAGCTTTTAATTCGATACAAGCTACAAGGTAGGATACATAATCGTGAATTCGTAGAGTATCTACATTCGAATGTTCAATAAGTGGGCAGTATCTACCGTTTTTTCCGTTTATTTCTTAAGTGCATACTACATATAGGAACATGATTTTCACTGATGATTTCATTTCAGGCCCCAACTTTAATTTTATTTGCTTTATTCATAGGCCAAATTGGGATCCACCACAGTATTGTGTTGATAAAAGAAAAATGAAGATGGCTTTAGATTATCTCAATGAAGTTGTTAATGAAAATTACACTCTGATATACAGCAGTAACCCACTAAGTGAACGAGGAAATGCTCTAAAATGCTAGATAGCACACTGTTATTGTACACTAGAAAAGGGTGGTTTTCCTCGCACCAAGCTATCCATCATCTCGTTTTGAATTTTATGCAACCCGATAGCCATTATCTTAAATTTCAATAATTCCTGAGCAAAGTATACTTTTACCCACGAATAAATTTTAGCTGGTAAATCATTAGCAAGGCAGTGCAGTATTATTTAGTCCTGATTTACAAATCATCAGCATTATGTTAAATGTGATACTTTGTAAGAAAGTTCGTTCAGCCTGTTATCTCATTCACTCTGAGCATTTAGTCTTAGTAGAAATATCTACCTGGAGAAGTTCTGGATAGAATTCAAGTTCTAAAACTATCTACAAGGCACTCAGCATAAGTTAACTACATATGTTTCTGTTGTGAATATTAATGAAACTACTTGGAACAGCCCTGGTTGTAAAACTATCGTTTAATACATGAAATAATATTGAAACCTGACCAGAAGTTAGGTTAAGTGATTAGTTTGGTGAATAGCTAGTCTAATGATACAAGGATTTTTAATTCAAAATCTATGACCAACAAACTTTCTCCTGATTTGAAGCTTCATCAGTGCACCTTATATAAGGTAATCATTTTATATAATTTATATGTTTATATTCTATAAATAACTAAACGTATGGAGATTTAATACGATATATTATTATATTATTTATCTATCTTTAAGGTCGTGACTGGAGAGAACGTTCTCTACTACACCTTGCAGTACTTTATCGTAGAACAGATTTTGTTCTTCAGTTAATTGAACTGTGTCAAGAACTTGTCAATTATCAAGATTGTCTTGGACGTACCCCATTCCATTATGCAATCTGTTTACCTGACAACCGAAGATTGTTCTTAAAAATGGTTTCGAAATCTGGAGGTATTGATAAACAAATCAAAGATCTGGTATGCTTCCAGATTTACTGCTACAGTGATATATTGACTCGGTTGTTTTTATATGATTCAATTTACTAAAAATTACTCGGTCTTACATAGTTTACATCAAAGACTTATCGTAGCTAGACAACCATTTGAAACCATAATGCAATAGAAAAATGTTATATCCTGTTATGGGACTTCCCATAGATAAATAACCACGACCCAATTGATGAGCAATCTTGGGACTTTCAGATCTCGCAGTGAGAGCTTAACTTTCACAAACGCCCTGATTTAATAATAATCATTCACTCACTAGTGGCTAACTTCAAGAGGAAATTTTCAAAGTTCTAATGAGAATCCGTGACCAATGGAGTTCAACCATATCTTGTGTGAGGCCGTTACCAACCAGTGATATAGGAAGGTAGTTGTACAATATTGCGAACTAATTGATGTTTGAAGTGCAAACCATAGGATTTTAACTCGGCTCTTGCCGAAGGACCCGAAAGTCCTGAGTTTGGTCCAAGGTAGCAAAATTGTGGATATCCACAATTAAGAAGTTCTTTACTAAGACAAAACAGCTGTCCAGTACTTTCTGGTTTTCAGTGGTTATCTAAGTTCAGTCTTTCAAATAAACCATGATGCTCAAAAGTATGCACAAATCCCCTGTAGTGATGGTCATCCTATCTTAACTATATATGTATTAGATCATTATTTGTGTACCCAAAAGGTAGTCTTAATACTTGATAGACGGTAGACGTGTGCTTAGCAAATAACAGTGATGTATGTTTCGTCAGAATGGACTGAATTAACCTATTTTGTGGCTGAAAATTTGAATGATCTAAAGATCAATTTCATTTCTATTCTATAGCAACTGTAAAGTTGCTGAAAATCTACAATCATTAGTCAGAGTGTTATGACCACACGTCTTCACAATTCCGCACTACAACAGGTAAGAACTTTATATCACTCGACAAAGACGATACTATTGAATTAATAAACTGGAATCATAATGATTAACATTTTAAAGCTTCGAAGAATTCATAATACAGTGCCCATCATTTACCGATATTTTTTGACTCGATCCATTATTATTAAAATTCAGAACTTCTCATAGACCCAGTTAAAAACAAGAGGCACATAGACAGTGAAAGTGAATCAAAGTAAAACAGTTATTAAAGTAATTACATTTACTACTATCTTAAAATAAAGTGTCATTTCGTAATACTAAATTTTTACCAATTATATCAAAGAGACAGATTGTGGTTAGTAGTACAATCTATTTAGGAATGGTCGGGTGAACGCACTTGAATCCCAGTTCTTATATTCTCACAGAAACTCAAACCCATTACCTTTCACTTCAACAACTAAATGTGCTAACCACTGGGCCAGTTAGTACAGATAGCTGCTAATTTGTGAATCAGTTATGATATTTATATCACTACTAGGAAGGTCTGAGTAATCGATACTATGAAAAACCTTGGACTTTGGTCGTACTAAATTTCATTTGTTGTGCAGTTATAATTTCGGGATTATTAACTGAAACTATCGTATAACAGTGTGGAGTATTACTATTTAAATTGAAATGAACTTTCTTTCTTAAAATTGTTTTTACAGGCTTTAGAATGATTAATCATAGATGTACAGTTATTAACTGAAACGTTTTGATATTATATTCAGTTGTACAAGGGTTTTTTGTCCACCTTTACGATTGTTCTTGATCGTGTGTACTTCGATGAAAGTTTAGTCCCTGAAATACTCTCCATTTTAGAATAGCAAACATTTAGATGATTTGACAGTATGGTTGATTTTTTTTATCATATCTTTATAATTCTTTTCCTAAATCTTAGATACTTTTTCCCAACATTTTAAGCGAAATATTTCAATTCATCAATATGGTGAGTTGTATGACCGAAAAATTCCTGAATATCAAAATCTGATTAATACAGAAAAATCAATCAAATTACTTGAATCAAATTGGCCTGATCAAACAATTTATTCATTGTTGCCTAAGATACCAAATGATAATGATGAATTCTCAATAAAAGAAGAAGATGAATCGGATAATAAACAATCAATTGTAGAAGTAATTAATAATATAAACAGAAATACTGAAAATTGTTTAATATTTCCAATTCCTGGTGCATTCAATACATTTGAAGTCAAAAGAAATAAATCAGTATTTAATTGGAAACAACGGATGTAAAGAATGAGACAAAAATGAATGAAAGAAATGAACAGATTAAATTATGGATAAGATTACTTTCTTCGACAGTTTATTAAGACATATTATTCTGAAATAAATGTAGATCATTATAGTTTTTGTCTTATACTGATGAAAAAGATTTTAAAATGTCTTGCTGAATAGTTCTTATATTTTTTTCTTAATGTAATGCAAAGTATAACATGTACCTATTATTGCTATTATTACTGTTATTATTACTATTAGGAATTGTATACAATTCATGAAAATCTATCATTTAATAGGGATTTCCAAATGTAAAATGGGAGAGTTCATATCATAACCATTGGACAAATTAGTAACTCATTGGTTTACTTGAGTATGTGTTAGTATTTGAAAATAATAGATAATGAGTTCGATTCAAAATGTGGGCATCAATACTGGGATACAGGTACATTCAAGTGATGTTTGACTTCCAATTTAGACGTAATAGGCATCCTATATTTCATTCTTAGCTACTATCCAAAAATATAAAGACTGAGTAAATATAGACAATACCAAGATCTTCTCTAAGAGTCTTCATAAACCAGAATAGACAGGTCAAATTAAGGGAGACAACACTTACGCTTTCCAGTAATATTAACTATTATTACTTTTAAATATTAGGATGTTATCAAATAATGAAAGTCATCGATTGGGTTATAATCATTCTCCATGGTTAGACAGGTTCGTCCAATCTCACCATTCCTTTCCGACTTTGTTATCGATGATATCCTGCAAATAGCTCTGATTGAAGTATGGAATGGTGGTGTGGATCCATCACCTAGAGAAAGACTTTTCGATATTAAGTACTCTGGAAACAGTCTTACTGTACGGTGATACTAAAGCTACGGAAATCGTACTTAATCAGTTGGGAATCAATGTTCGTAGTTAATAGCACGTACTTTGCACCTTTTAGGTGTTAAGTCGTTTTAAAACTCCGCCAAGAGCCTCAACTAGTACACACTTTCTGTAGTGAACCATCAGTAGTCGAGAAGTTCGTGTTTCTAGGTAGCTATATAAGTGCTAGTGGTGGCCTGAGTGAGGATATCAATTTACGTGTAGTGAAAACCAGAATGACTTATCCCAGTATACCCCATCTTTGGCGACGTCGTAAATGTCAGTCTGTCTGTAAAACCTAGGGTCTCAGAGTTAAGGATATTCGTGAAATCAGTGCTCAATTATCCGTCACTCAGTGAGTGTTGACATCCAGTCGAAACGCCATGTTAATAATGTGGAGGTTCAGCACTATGTATTCGGGAACAGTGATGGTAACTCATTTAGTGCATCATCTTCAAATACCGCCTTCGGTAACTAGGACTTGTCCTGAGAATGTCAACACAGACTCTACCTGACGACTTGAAGACTGGTTGGAAAAAGCGGAATTTACGATGTAGTGCCGTGGCACAAAAGAATTGTGTACAAAACTGGTACCTGTGAGCCCTGAAGAGGTCCTGGAAATGGTGCAACTTAGTGGGTTGAGATATTATCAGATAAGGTTCAGAATAAAAGGCAATGGTAATCTTGCCGTAGTTTTCTTACACACCCTTCATAAAATTGGAAGGAACTCATTTGATTGAAATCCTTACTGCTTGTTTTTCCGATTAAAGTGTTGCTCCTACTATAAACTAATCTCACTCATTTATTCACTTTGAATATACTCCCCTCTCCCTCATCTATCTCTTCGGAATGCCCTTTTTATCTATAAAGAGAAATATTTATCTTGGTTCCCAGTTGTACCACTATTTATGTGCTCATTAATATTATTAGTGAAAATCCCAGCTGATTATGCGTTGCTACTCTCAGTAACACAGTAAATATTGAAGTTAAAATTGTTGTTAGAGTGTTAACATGTTAAGCCAATATCAACATTCAAATATCATCATAATATGGCGTAAGCAACAGAGAGAGTTCGCGAATACGGATTTCTGGTTTATACTAAACTCGGCTCACAAACGTTTAGAGTTAATTTGTAAAATAATAGAAAATAGCGATGCTAGGGATCATCATTAATTCCATATGGTTAGTGGAAACTTTCGATGCATATTTATTATTGATTATGTGAATATGTGAGACCAGTTTCCAGTTCAATTTGCAAATGTTTTTCAACATATCACTTTCATTTATTCTACGTGTTGTATTGTCAAAGGACCAATAATCAGATTATATATAACGATACATTATTTAATCAATGAAAGAGAATGCTTTTCTGAGACTAGATAAACTTTGTGGCAATCAAAAATCGAAATCTATATCTGGCGAAATTCTACAGTTTGCATCAGGAAATGACATCATCTGATGAACTATGTAAAATGAAGAAGTGTTAGACAGACTACTGTATTTCATCGTAATTGTAAACTTCACATCAGTGCACAATCATAACCACATATGAAACCTAATTCAGAGTCGTCAGATCTCGTGATGAGCATTGGGTTGCGACCCAATAATCCAATTTTTTAATTTGATTATTCAGTGCCATTGTTATCACGTGCCTCAATATGGTTGCACTCCAGCCGGTTGGAAATATAGTTATTGACAATCCTTAATTTGAAAAGGATTTATCTTTACAAATTGGAAATGGCAAATCTTCAGTACCAGATATTTAAAAATAATGACAAAGAATTTCGAGGATATTTGGTTCTTTCTTCAATTCGAATAACATAATATCTTCCTTTTATTGATTATTTAACCTTTCAACATGGAAAACCTTTCTGGTTTTCAAGGGCATGGATAAAATAAATATATAAAATCAGAAATGTTGTATCACGGTCATATCTCTTCGGGCGACAGTATTGTCGTAGAATACAAATTTCTTTACTTCCTGATAATGCGCTCAATGGGATGAATATGACTGAAGGGTTGTTGTTGAATAGCAATGCGATAAACTATTTACCTACTTTAGTGGAACGCATAATCAGGATTTCTGAATTCCTTTAACTTCACAGACTGACGATAGACAAATAATGGCCTATGTTTGACAATATAGCACAGAAACTAATTACCGACCTGATAATGAATCGATTTATACCAGTGAAGACTATTTTGTGCAAAATATTATACATATAAAGTACTAATTGTGCATTCTTATTTAAAGTTCCATATTAGGACGAAACGCCCTCCAGTGCTCACAGGTTTTTAATAGTGGTCTAACATTTATTAATTCATGATCTCAATCAAAAACTTAACAATCTCCACAACCCCACACTGATCATTAGAATATCATTGACGATTTATTGTAGTTGACGCATTATTTTTATGTAAAATTTTAGTCAATCGATTTTAAAAATTACAAGAATCACAGATAACTTTAAATTTATTACAAACTTAATCGAGTACAAGGGAAAAAGGGTGAAATTGTTTCATTTTACAATGATACGACATTTTTTTATCAGTAAGACAAAAAGCAAAGCTATAAATGAATATTATACAAGAAGAATTTCAGAGAAGTAAAAGAAATAACACAAATTGTTGTTCAGTTAATATATTGAACGTTGTGATTTGACGTAAGTCAGGGTCATGTCAAGTATTATTGTCACTACTACTGTTATGATCCCAAAATGCATTTTTATGAGCAAACATATGAAGGCAGAGAGATAATAATCATAATAGTAATAATAATTAATAGGTATTGTGCTAAGATATACATAAAAATATAAAAAAATATTCATATTTATTACAAATTAAAATATTGTTGATTGTTTTATTTAATAAGCTGACAATGACTGTTACTAATGAGTGAAATTTTCTAATAATAATAATAATAATAATAATAATAATAATAATAATAATAATAATCACACGAACATATATCACAGAGATATTGAATGACAGTGCCTCAAAGTATCATGATTTGAATGCATAATATGAATGCAGGTTACTCATCCATCTGAAGGCTGTTTCAAGAGCATCTTCAGTGAAATGTTGTTCAATGTCAAATTGTCTTCTCTACGTAATAAACAGATAAAAAATTATTGTATATGTACATATATCTAGACTAGGCCATTTTACAAATAAATGATATATGTATGTAACTTTTAGTTGGATAGTTTGAGAGATATACCAAATTTTAATCTGATCCTATTTTTAGGTATGTTTAAGCTTGAAAGTTTGCAATTATGTTGCCGACAAATATGTTGAAGTATTCATATCACCATAATAATCATCGGATTTTCACTAATAATGACTAACTTTGAGAACTTTTGGAGTTCTAGTGAGAAGCTACAACCGGTGAAATACCAAAACATAGGTTTTGAAACATGTTGATTGTTGTAGTTGCTACTACCTGACTGTTTATATTGAAGAAAATGTCAGTTATGAGTTCAAATCACCCGAAAAAATAGGGAGTACTTCGTCAACAGATTAGAATTCTACAGTAGAATGCAACCACGATCACTAACAAAATTGATAGAGATACCTTTTAATCCCGTACATTCACAATATATATCCATATATGCATATGTCTTCTCATTGACTTTTAAAGTTTATTTAAGAGAAAATCAAATAATTAGTGATCAATCATACATTGTCCAAGTCTTATTAATTTCACATCTCTTTTCAGGATGAGTAGTCTAATGTTTCAAATTAGAACGAAATTTTGTGCAATTATTATTTTGATAATGGCGCTTTGAATACAATAAACATTTGATTATCTAACTTGTTTCAACATATTTTTCATTCATCAGTAATTGATCGCTTACTCAAACTAAATACATTACAATCAATCTAACACTTTAACTAATACCTTCTATAGGAAACTTAAAAAGGATATTTATGTTGCCTGTATCATAACATAGTAACACAGATAAATGATACAATCCAGTTGTCTAAACTGAATTTCGGATAGTTTAACAGCTAAGGTATTTGTTTGTTTTAGTGAATATGCTTTGAATATAAGTGGAAGTTGTTAGACTAATGGTAGAAAATAAGTGCATTGGATAATTGCTTTGCTTCATTTTTCTAAAGAATTCTCTTTTAGGTGGATATTTTAATCATTTACTTTGTGAATATATATTACACAATAAAGTGAGTAAACAAATTACATTTATTCATAAAAAATGGGCAAGCAATATATACCTTGATGTTTAGGTGAAGTTGCTGGTGTTATACAACTTTCACTGCTAACTGATGAGTTTTTCGACAACTTTCGATCTAAAAGTTTCTGTGGGAAAGAAAGGGAAAAAAATTTTATTTGTGAAAACAAATTTAACTGATTAAGTAAGAATTAGTGAATTCAGTTTCTAATAATACGTTCTGTGTACATACGATCTCTAATGATACATGTTATTATTGCACTAATCTACATTACTAACAATAAATTCACTATCACCGTTCTTGTAATCGTTTACACGATTGATAAGCCATATAAACTCACGCCTACTTGAACATGCAACAGGAACAAAATGTATAAGAATCCTCGAAGATTCGTTAGAAAAGTATTGCAAAGACCGAAGAATGTTTAGAATACTTCGATCAATCATCATTCTTTAGAAACTTTGAAAAAGAATTTAGAAATAAACGGGTGAAAGGTCGCTCTTATCTTGACGTGACAATTACTGAATCCATTGTCAATTTTAGCACACCCCATAGAAGCGACCAGAATGTCAAGGTAACGTAGCACAAACGATACCATATATAACTTTGTTTCTATACATAGACAGACTTTCAAGTTACAACTACCGTGCGTCCCGACTGTTTTCGAATATATATATATATATATATATATATATATATATATATTGGAAAGTTGGTTGCATAACTGAATAGTTCAAATACCCTTATAAACTACATCACCTCTTCAAAGGTATTTGATAGAACAGTGTATTCATAATGTGCATCCTTGATTTCCAAGGCAATGACCGAATTCCTACAACAGTAGAGCGTATGGGACTCAAAACAAATGTCAGCCAACACAAAGAAACTACAAAACGAACGTCAAGACAGATCTACCGTATGGAGCTACAACTATCACCAAAAATGCACATGTATTTATAAATAGTTGTGTACACAAGATACTCTGGATTCGATGGCCGGATATAACACCAATAACAACCTACTGTGGCAGAGAACAAGCCAGCTTCCATCTGAACACAAAATTAGGAAAAGACACCTGAAATCGATAGGAAAAACATTGAGGAAATAATCAAACTCCATCACAAAGCCAGTCCTACCTTGCAATCTTCAAGCCAAAAGGAAAAGAAGCACGCTAAAGAACACATTGAACCGGAAATTGGAAGTACATTTCAAAAGAATGAGTAACACTTAACAACAGCTGGAAAGGGGTACCCAGGACAAAGTGGGTTGGAGAATCCTGGTCGGTGGCTTATGCTTCTCCACGACAGGTAACAGGAGTAAAAGGTTAGTACGTAAATATTAAACCACTGAATCAGGCATGAAGTGCATTGAAATAACAGGTTCGTGAGTGGCTACACTTCGGAAAACAACCATCCCAGTCACTTAAGTCCATTTTTGGTCTTATACTAGAAGTTCGTTAAATAAACAATTAGAGTTCAATTATTTATTCAACCCACATATATAAGATAATTGGTGTGATGAACTCTTAGTTGACTCTATCTTCATGTGATAATGAGCTAGGTTTCAAGAAATTTATGATAGTGAATTTCGATGAAGCTCTAGAGCATGTAGGTTGGTGGCAGCTCACTTTTATTAGAAACCACCCGTACTTAAGTCTTAACGAGTGACTGTCTTATGAAATCGACACACTAACCAAGCACATATCACTTACAATCTAAACTGTTTGTTGGCTTAACTATTTACATTTTCAACTAATGAGGAGAATAAAGTTCTCAATGATCGTCTGATAGTAATATTTTTAGTTGTGAGAAACCCTAATTTATCCCTTACGGATCAGAAAACCCGTTCTGAAAAAAAATCATTCCGTTCATTTAGTCAGTCCACATACAACACGTAAACAAGTCTACTTCGGCATGATTCATTCAGTGCCACTGTTGCTCAGTCTAATATAACCTCAACATGAGGAACATGTTAATGGGCTGTAGTAAACATCACTACTTGGTAAGAGTAGCCACAACACTAAATAACCATCAATGATGATATTACTTCCCTAGTCATGTGAAATATTTGGGTAGCATATATTTATTTAATTAAACATATACATTATTTGGAAAAATGATCTATTGAATCAGACATCACAACAGATACCTCATGATAAGATTTTAACAACCACATACAGGTGTTATCCGGTTGTTTCTATACTACACAATACTCGATAATATGCAAGAGAAACTCCACTAACGACTAAGAAGGACAACCAAAATCTTCACTGGATACAAGAACAAATACAAATGCACCTTAATTCACTGAGTAAATATGCAAGTGGATTTTTCACATTTAACTATTTTCCATTCAATCTCGGTACTTGATGAAAGTGATCTTCAACTTCAACTAACAGCAGTAAACTATTCAGTTAAGTGTTAGTATAAATCTCAATCCTGATGTTGTTCACAGATTTTTCATCCATACATAAGATTCCTCAGCAATACTCAATTAACGACGTCACCAGAAATCGAATCCATGACTTTCGGATACCACGGAGAACGCTAAACCAATAAACCTTGAAATAAGCTACCAGTAATACATATTTCCAACTTCAATTAATTGATGATTTAGAGTGACAATAACAATAAGTAAAGTGAGTAAGCGAGTAGGTAAGTAAAGATGAACCAGTTAACTCGGGTTGATTTCATCCTCTTGAATAACATTCATGCAGATCATAATAAAGCCATTCGTTTCAATATGATATGCAATGATATATGTAAGGAAATATATGACTAACTTTATATTTAGTTACTGTGCTCAATGCCAAAGACTTTTCCAGTTCCAACGATTGGATTTGCTCTTTCAAGATTCTAGCATAAAAAGGATAATAGAGTGAGAAAATGACAATAAAAATTTAATCAGTTCTGAGAAAATTTCTGAAGTAAACTGGTTGGACGCTCACATAAAAATGCATGTAAAAGCCAGATTCACAATTAATTGGAAATCCCAAATACCCTTGTAAAAATCGAAGTTGGGATGAGTCAGTTCTTCTTCCTAAAATGCATTCACAAAGCTACACTGACAGGTTTACTCCTGGGATTTTTAAGGATGGTGGTCCAGTATTAGCAGCGAGATTGACTGAGGTCTTAGATAGAATCTGGGAACTGGACGTAATCCCATCTGACTGGTCTCAATAACTGATTGTGTCAGCCTATAAGAAAGGACAAAAGTCCTCTTGTGACAATCACATAGGAATTAGTTTGACTAATATAGTGTCTAAAATATTAGCTTCAATATTACTTCGACGCCTAGCCAAAGCTCATGAAGAGCAGACTAGAGAAAACCAGACTGGTTTTCGACCTGGATGTGGTTGTATAGACCAGATATTCACACTACGTCAGGTCCTAGAACATAGACACACATTCAGACACCCCACAATGGTAGTATTTCTCGACCTTAAGGCGGCATTTGACTCTGTTGATCGTGATGTTCTATGGCAGTGTTTGTCACTGAAAGGAGTACCAAAGAAATACATTAACCTTGTAAGGGCTCTCTACTCGAACACAACTGGTAGAGTGAGAGCTTATGATGAACTGTCATCAGAACTGATTACCTCAAGTGGTGTTCGTCAGGGCTGTCCACTCTCTCCATTCTTGTTCAACTTTGTCGTTGACATGCTTTTAGAGATAACACTTTCCTAATCTGAATTTCCAGGGGTTGAACTTCTACCGGGAGATTCACTTGTTGACTTAGAATATGCCGATGACATAGCTCTATTTGGTGAAGACGCTGACAAGATGCAGAGTCTGCTGACCACTCTAAGCAACAATGCAAGCATGTTCGGCATGCGATTTTCTCCCTCGAAATACAAGATGTTGCTTCAGGATTGGGTTGCACCGCCACCCCAACTAGTGATAGGGAGTGAAGTAGTTGAGCATCTCGGAGCGTGCTAATGAGCTGGAAGCAGCAGCTGCATCTGGAACTGCCGGAAGCTCTTCCAACTCATCCGAGCCACTCGCAGCAAGAAGTCTGGTGTGAGCGAAACAATCTGTGAGGATGACGGAACGCCAATCACTAACATCAATCGACGTCTTGGACGATGGGCAGAGTTCTTCGAAGGGCAGTTTAACTGGCCTGCTGCTCAGGCAACATCGATCAGACTGTCCTGCCCTACATGGCCGGTGACCAAATGAGGCGAAAGTCCGCAAGGAACTCCAACTCTTGAAACGCTACAAATCACTGGGCCCAGATGACTTACCTCCGGCTCTTTTTAAAGATGGTGGTGACTTTCTGACTAAGGGACTGACTACGTTGTTTATAAAGGTCTGGGAACTAGAGAGTGTACCAACGTCTTGGAATGAGTCGATAGTTTTCCCTATCTTTGAAAAGGGTTCACGTCGTTCCTGTAACAACTATCGATGGATAAGTCTACTTCCGATTGCGTCCAAACTATTGGCTTCCGTCATACTTCGTAGGTTGTTCAAAACCCGAGAAGGATTGACTCACGAGGAGCAGGCTGGTTTTCGTTCCGGTCGACGATGTATTGATCATATCTTCACCATCCACCAAATGTTAGAACACCGTCATACTTATCAAAGGCCAACAATCGTAGTGTTTCTTGACATTAAGTTTGCCTTCGATTCGTTGGACAGGACTGTTCTCTGTGATTGTCTATTGAAGAAGGGTGTGCCTGAGAAGCTTATTAACATCTTAAAGGCCCTATATGCAAACACCTCAAGCAGAGTGAGGGCATACAACCACCTTTCGCCACTGTTCCATTCAAGCAGTGGGGTTAGGCAGGGTTGCCCAACATCACCATTCCTCTCCAACTTTGCCATCGATGACGTTCTGGAAACAGCTCTGATGGATGCAAGTAATGGTGGTGTGGATCTGCTGCCTGGAGAAAGACTACTCGACCTTGAGTATGCGGATGATATTGTCGTACTGTGCGATAATACACAAGCCACTCAAATCCGCACTTAATCAGTTGGCAATCAATGTCCGTAGGTATGGTATGTGCTTTGCACCTTCGAAGTGCAAAGTACTTCTACAAGACTGGTAGGACCCTGATCTTGTACTCACTCTGGATGGTGAGCAGATAGAAGTAGTAGAGAAGTTCGTGTATCTAGGTAGCTGCATAAGTGCTGGTGGTGGGGTAAGTGATGAGATCAATGCATGTATAGTGAAAGCCAGAGTGGCTTATGCCAATCTGGGCCACCTTTGGAGCCTTCGTCACGTTAGTCTGGCTGTAAAAGGTCGGATCTACAATGCGTCGGTGAGAGCAGTTTTGCTCTGTGCTTGTGAAACCTGGCCTCCAAGTTGAGGACGTTAGACGACTCTGTGTTCGATCATCGCTCTCTCCGAAGGATGGCAGACATCCAGTGGCAACACCATGTTAGAAATACAGAGGTTCGGCATCGTGTGTTCGGGCACAGAGACGATAATGAAATTGGTGTCACCATCTTGAAACACCGACTTCGGTGGCTTGGACATGTTCTACGAATGTCGTCTCCGGGAATTGCTCGTCGTGCATTATTTGCCCACTCTGGGACTGGTTGGGAAAAGCGGAGGTGGACAGTATATGACATGGTGTCGTGGTATGAAAGAAAGCTGCAAAGGGTTGGCTTGTGTTGGTCCTTCACGACTCCCTGGCTGGGGTCCGAGAGATGGTGTAACACAATGGCTAGAGACGTTATCAGATATGGCTCAGAATAAAAGCCAATGGCGATCCTGCTGTAACCTTCTTTTACTTTCTTCATAAAAAGTGGTTGTATCTTCCTTAACTGAAAGATCTCTTCTGATTGTACCTTTCCGTTTCCCCCACCATTGTTCTGTCTCTCTCTTTTTTTTATAATTCCCCACGTTCATTACTTTTTTCTCCTTCTCTTCAAATTATCATTGTTTTGTGTGGCGCATATATATTTGGTGCCCCCTTGTGCCAATATTTATGTGTTCAAATAAATAAATAAATGTCAAGAGCTTCACTTATCTTGGAAGTCTCATCAGCCCTTGTGGTCTGGTGTGTGATGAAATCTCAGCACGGATACAGAAGGCTCGACTAGCTTTTGTCAACTTGCGTCATTTGTGGCGTAGGCGAGATATCCGTCTATCAACCAAAGGACGTGTTTACTGCGCAGCAGTTCGTTCCGTCCTACTTTATGGCAGTGAAACATGGCCGGTAAGAGTAGAGGATATTCGTAGGTTACTAGTATTTGATCATAGGTGTCTTCGAAAGATTGTTCGTATATCCTGGGACCACCGAGTAAGTAATGCAGTTGTTAGGAAACGGGTACTAGGTAAGGATGGCAAATCAATTGATGAAGTAGTGAAACTTAATCAGTTGAGATGGCTGGGACATGTGTTACATATGCCCGACCACCGACTGCCTCGACGTGCGACGTTTTATGGTGTAGGAGTAAGTTGGAAGAAAGCTAGGGGCGGTCAGACCAAAACATGGCACAAATCCATGAAGTCACTGACAAGTGGATTGAGCCATGTTGGCAGGTGTAGACTACTTGGTTGAGGACCGCGAGATGATAGCAACCGATGGTTAGAGACTTTGAATGACATGGCTCAAAATCGTTTGCAATGGTGCAGGTGTATCCATTCTCTGTGTTCTTTCAAACTCTAATCTTCCGAATTTTTCATGTCCCTTTCTCTTTTATCTTTCCAAATTTATTTAACTGTATTATACTCCTTAAATAACATCTTCAAACCCTAATGTTCCCTATCACTACTTATACTTTTAGTACCTCTACCACTATGGGATTTGAATCGATAACTGAATTTCTGTGCTAATGTGGTATGGCAACTCGAACTGATGTACGTACGTACGAAGTTCCACGTTGTTATTGACTGACTGACACTTTGGTAACCTCTGCTAGGAAAATCCTACTTACTGTTTTCATGAGGTGGGGTGTTTTACGGAGTTGAGAGGGTTGGTATGTACAGAGGGTCTATCTATAGAAGTCGAAGAACCCTGATTCTACTAAATCAGTGGCGTGCATAGGCTACAAGATCCTGAGGGAACAAGTGGCATATTAACTTACTCTGGTCGCAAGCTACCACGGGATTGTATCTTCTGACATTGTATTGCTGTCTTATGGATTATTCCTCTGGGGCAAAGGCTTGGTAATCGGTCTACGACCTGATTCGATATAAGTGCCCGGGCAGTATTCTAACGCACTCACAAATACAATGATCAATAATTATAAAGTACATATATAAGCGAACAATATTAAATAAGAACTTTCGTCTAAATTTGAACAAATAGTTTCACAATATTTGGGCGCCGAGTTAATGTGAGACATTCGATAATTTTGTTGTTTGATTATATTTTCGTTGAAAAAGCTTGGACCAGATTGCCAGGCGAAACGTTGGATTTACTTAAAATTCATTCGCTGAGATTTTACAAATACATTTTTCCTCTTTAGCGAGCAATTTTGTTTTCGATTAGATCCTCATCAGGCTTTACTCTAATATACAGTAATATTTATATGCATATCCGAAATTATTAAACCAATCAAGGTAGTTTATGAGTCAATGATAACGATGAATAAAACGATTACATAATATGTGAGAAGTACAAATTGATAGTGTGATGACAGGTGTACTAGATTTTGATAAGAATAATAAAGGTTCAGATCAATGTTACATAATCGGAAATAGGTCAATGATTAGAAAAAATATAGGTAGTGAGATAACATTTATAAAAAATATTATAAGATGACGTAATGAGAAGTGTTTAGATAACTGAACCGTGAAAAAATAAAATAAAATGGTAGGAGGGGGTGAAGAAAAATTAATAAACGAAGAGAAGGTTTGAAAAGAAAATAATAAATAAATTCATTTATTAGGGCCAAGGGAGAGTTAAGGGTGTTAGAAATTTCTTCTGAACACAAAGACTCGGCTTGTTAGCTCGAATTCCTATAGCTTCTGCTATGTGTAAGAGACGAGATCGAACACCATAAGGAAAACTAGTGGGAATACGATAAATAACTTTAAATGATTTGTTTCTGTCCACTATGTGACCACTATCGATTAAGTGTGATAGAACTGAGCTGCGTATTGTCTTTACGTAACGTTTTCCTAACCGCGATGGAAGGTGTTCACTAACTCTTTGGTTCAGTTGTCTGGTAGTGAGTCCAATATAGCTTTCTCCGCAGGAGCAGCTGAATTCATAGACACACATAGATTCACATATTATGTAATCGTTTTATTCATCGTTATCATTGACTCATAAACTACCTTGATTGGTTTAATAATTTCGGATATGCATATAAATATTACTGTATATTAGAGTAAAGCCTGATGAGGATCTAATCGAAGACAATATTGTTCGCTTATATATGTTGTTCTAAATTTATATTATGGGAATATTTCAAATTATGAAGTAAATGATTTACTGTTTGGCGTATACATTTTTGGTGCCCAGTTGCAACAAATTTCATGTGTATTAAATAAATAAATAAATAAATAGAGAATAGTGCAGATTGTTTACCAAGTAATAAATTTCGATCACGCTAGATGTATACGTGCGATTGTCAGTGATGCTACCCGACTGACAATACCAACACAAGTAGAGTTGATTTCGAACATGTGACTTACTGATAGAAACTCAAAGATGCTTTAGTCACTATCCAACTGCTTTATATTTAATGCGATTAACGCTCGATGCTCAATCTGTCATAAATATAGCACTCAAAAGGGTAACTTTGCAATGGTTTTCAGGAGCCCTCTATATTCTTTACAACCTGAACAGAATAGCGCAATCATACATGCAGCAAGAGTCATGTTGGACCACCACAAAGCTTTGCTAACAAACAAAAAAGGCAAGACACAAGAGATTTAAAGCACAGTAGATGATGATGAATTAACAAGGTCCATATCGTTCGGTGGATTTTCAAAAAAAAGAGATAAACGTTTTATATTGGGGTCAGAGTGAAGACAGGAAATGATTTCTTCAGGTGAACTGTTTCAGCAATATTACTTTCAATGAAGAGAAAGCTATCTAGTAGTGAATCCATAGAATGTAGGCGGTGATTGGTTGTTGAGTGAGGACAAAAAAGATAGGATGTATCACACACGATCAACAGACTGATATTACGAATGACTTTTTTGCATTCAGTATTTATGCCAGTTATTTTGGATATTGAAGGCTAGTTTGTTGATTAAATGGTGGGATAGGCGTGTGTGATTCAGTCATATACCCACACTATACCAGTGGTGAGATCATGAACCTATATAATTTCGAAGACCTGTGAAAACATGGAAACATTGGACAGCTGTTTTGTTCTAGTAAGGGACTACTCCTCGGGGGTTTTTGGATCTCAGGATCTTCTGTTTAGGACGCAAACACTTAACCTCTAGATCATTGGGGCGGAATCCAGTTATGTAGACGTCTAATTTCAATTAATGAGTGATACTGCTCAATCACCTTCTATTGTCTTCAGTGGATACCTTGCTGGAAGTTGATACGTTTGAACTCCACTAGTTATGGTTTCTCAGTAGAATTTCGGACATGCACATCACTGGATTCGGATTCGTCGTCTCAATGACATTCAATAATCTCTTCCCCCTATACTAATAATTACACTCTAGTTTGTAAGTATTACAGCGGAACACTAGAAACAAGTCTTCTAGGCACTAAAGTATGCAGTGCTTCATTGCTGAAAAAATGTTAAGTACAATATTACGAAATTACAATAGCCATAAGGCTAATGAGAAAAATGATGATTACTCACTCACCTGCTTTCAGTTATTAAGGTGTCGATATCTTGAATTTTTCGTTCATCTCCACTTAAAATATAATTTAATTCATTGTTCAATCGATCACATTTATTACGATATATATCTCGTTCCGTTGCGATTTCTTGCTTCTCATCAAAACATTGCCCCAATTCGCGTTTGAGTTCAGAAACCTTTAACAAAAGTAGATTGGATTCCTTTTTTAGAAAAAGTAACGTCAAACTGAAAAATTAGTGAACACAATGTAGTACAGTCTATTCGTCGATAAAATAAAAAAGGACTATACCCGAAAAAAGTAGCCCTATGGCTTGGTACATGGCCTAGATGTTTAATTACTAGGATTAGATTCTTGACTTGCATCAATTTAGTCCACTCAGTAGAGTATTACGAGCTCCTGACAGAGAACAGTTATATTACAATAGAAGGTTAGTTTGTAAGTGGGGTACGACATACAGATAGTATGTTTGTTGATGAAGTTTTGAAACCATTATTAACTGATGTGGTTAAAACAGCTGTTAAGCACGTCGAATCGCCATCAATCTCTATATGCTATACCGGAAAGCATAGGAACTGAGTTTTTAAAAAAATAAAGGGTGAACAGACAAAAACAGTGCCAATCCAAATGGTCATAGTCTATCTACCTGGACAAAGCGCTAAAGGGCATTAGTATAGATGTATTCATTCTGAACCATCTTACAAATTTTCAGTTCTTATGTATTTATTCCTATTGTTTAAATTCCCGGTTGCATTCGTTTAATTTTGAAATTCAATTTCTATATTTAGTTTTCGTCGCACCACTTATGCCATTATTCCTACTGTTTTTCTCGTGTTCATTGTCGTATTATCTGTTCCTTTCATTATATGGATACACAATTTGGCGATTTGAACCGGCATACACGTTGTTTGCAAATAAGTGGTTGGGAAGTTGCACAACTAGTAAGTTGTGCCACTACATATCGAAATTTTGTAGCAGTAAAGTGTATTTCTTTATAAAATCTCTTAACCTGAACAGTAAAATAAATCTTTAATACATAATTTGTTGACAGGATCAAACTGTAGAGAAGCATAACATAATATGACAGGTAATATATGCTGGTTCTAATTAAGACCTGCATCTATCGTTACTCATCTAGTGTCAAGCTGTTGTAAATGCATAAGATAGATTACCAAAGAATATACAAATTCGCACCATATTGGTTATGTAGTTAGGTATGTGTGTTAGTTATAAGAAGTATACAACCTGGGACATACATGAGTCGACCCAAGTTGTTGCACAAAATGATCATGAACTACATAAATTTTTTAGGGAAATTTTACTTAAAAAGGATGTACAGATACTGAAAAAACATTAGGCACCTGAAAAGTAAGCTCTTCCAATTGAGTTACGTAGGTTTGGCGATCATTTCCAGAAATTCTAGGATCCATTGTGTGCTGATTTTCACATGAACGATCGCTAAGTTGTCTCCTCAACACCTTAATATCTCCTTGGAGTTCTTCAATTTTTTCGCGAGAATTCATTAGTTCATGTTCTAAACTTTTGTTAGCTTCTCTGCTTTCAACTAACAAAGAAGCAAGCTACAAAACTTCCGGAGGGGAAATATAACTATATACCTGTTTAGTCGATAAATGCATTATATCAGGGGTAGAACATTGGTCTGCTTTATCACATTCCATAAGAGTTTTTTTGAGCATCTGGTATCGATTCATTACCTAAAAGACGTCGGAGATAGACTAAGAAAATACCTGTTCTGCCATTCTCTTGAATTCATTTCTCTCTTTTTTGCACTTTTCCAATGAGGCATTCAAAATTGAAACTGCTTGTGTTTTGGCATTCAGTTGCTGAGCCGTCACTGTCAGCTATTAATTATAGTGCTGATATTATAATGTTTTGTAACTCACATCAGTTTTTAGATTTTCCAACTCCAAATGTAGTCGTTCTTCTAACTAAAAACGATTTATAGTAATAAGAGTAAGATTTTCGACCAACCATTTGATTAGCGATGAATAATATAGTCTCTCATATACATATCTGAAACATGAAAAATTCATCGCGTTAACGTCAGCAAAAAATCTGGAATATGTACAATTTTATAGTTTCCAGGCTACTTATTTTTTAACTTTTAAAATATTGCATGAGCTGTCTCATTTTCAGAAAGCTGATATCAATCAATAATATTTGTTAACCACATTATGCATTCATGTAGTTACATGGAGTACCCAACCTAACCACAAAAATCAAAAATCGAAAGTCATAGTAAATGGTGGCATAGTCTTTAAAAGAATGAGGGGTTATCATATGCGTTTTCCTGAAACATCAAATCCAAGCTTCATATCTTTGATGGACGAAATGGATTATTTCAGTCTGCAAATATGTAAATTAAATCACAAGCAAATTCATGGTGATAACTCACTTACTAAGTACAGATAAATGTATATGGCTTTAGGTTACAGAATAATTGTGAGGACTGGTAATACTTTTCAGGTGCCCGAACCGAAGTAGGTGGAGCGGAATTCGAACCAGTAAATTAATGGCTGAAAGTCGGACGCCTTTCAGTTAACATGAAAAAATATAGAGGATATGTTGCCACCGTCGTGAATATACTTTAGTGCGCATCAAATTTCTAAATGATTTCGATGATTTTCGGTATAGATATTTGGAATAATATTTTTATGCATTTGCTGTAAACATTTATGTGACTCCTAACATAAGACCAACTGTACTATCCGTTTACATTAATAAATATACTAGATATCCTCCTACCATTTTCAGTGCTTTATTATCAATATATAATGATAGCAGTTCGTGTGAATGTGGCTTCATCAAATCTAATAATAAAAAGAAATGTTGACATTAGTATGAGACTTGATACTTCTCTTCGAACCTGAACTTTTCAACGATTCAAAAATACACAAACCACATAAGTGCAACTCTTTTGAATGTAGATTATGTTTTTGTTGAATTACGTGTCACTTTACACAAGTTTATTCATTAATCGGGAACAGTTTACCAAAATGGAACTTTTTTACCTATAGTTCACTAGATGATATCAGTCCAAATATTACCCTCCATCTCACAGTTTGTTTAAACAGTCATTTGGTCATAAAATTTACTGATACCCTATATATTGAGATGTATGTCAAGTTGGACCGAAGTACACATGGTAGATCTAGGAGTACACAAAGAATGGATGCAACCCATTTCGAGCCATTTCACCTAAAGTCTCCAATTATTGGTTATCATAATCTCTCAAACCCTATCTAGGTTGTCTATACCTACTCACATGGTTCAGAACAACAGCTAAGAACTCACGGACTGATATCACGTTTTTTATTTGGTTCCTCACTCAACATTTTCGACATACTCCTACAGCAACGAAAGTCGTGCTTCGAGGCAATTAATGGTTGAGCATACATAACGAATGCTCGAGCCATTTCCGTCTGTAAACGTCCAGTTTCATACCTGTCTAATGTTTGAGTTCTTCTGCTGCTTCCGTTATTCATTCGGATTTAAATCCTGATTTGGCCTTAGATGTGACAAGTAGCTTCTGTAGGTTTATTGGCTGAGTATATCTACGAGTCGTTGGTCATTCTAGTTGTTGTATTACTGAAAAATGTAGATTAAATTACCTAAAATGGGTAGGATTATATTCGATTTTTCACTAAATATGACAGAGTCACCACCCTTTTCCGATACTTATAAGAAGTTATGGTCAGTGACTTTGGGATCAACGTTGATTGGTACCTGGATTTTGCAAGGGGAATCCACCTAAAAACATTAGGTAATCTTTTTTATTTTGGGTTGGATAGAAAATTTCCAATTAGAAAGAAGATGGAGTGGGATTAAACTTCACGCCATCTAGATGGAAGCCTGTAAAAGGCGGTGTGCAACAAGTTACTCTCTTAAGTCCCTTGTTATTCCGACTCCACGTCAACGAATCGCTATAACTGTTTAGATCATCACTTATTTGCAGATGATATAAACGTTCAGAGGGTAACACATAGTGAAACCAATATGCTAGAGCAGCAAACTGGTCTAAACGAACTAGTTAGGTGGTCCAGGAATCGATATTTAGGAATAAACTCTCATAAAAAATGTTGATTTAAATGGGATAACAATAACCAACAATACACTATTGATGTGATGCCAATCAACTTTTAGGACAAAAGGATTTATGTGTGATTGTAAGCCATGACTTGAGGACAACTGTACACTGCAATTCAGCAGCTGATTAAAGGTTTCCTGTGTTATGTGCACTTCGCAGATGCTTTAGAGGCCTTGACCAAGAGATTTTTTGAAGTTGATTATTGATGGAATTTCCGTATATTCAAAGAAAGGGAATATAAAACTGAAGTGTATGTTTTGTTATTTAAAATTTATAAATGTGATGATACATATTGAGCTTCAGTTAGTCAGTTAGAATCAAAGTAGAGACAAGTACAGATAGATGTTAGCTCAAGTTCCCATATAACCAAAACAAGATGAATAGTAAAGAAGTCGAGCTAAAATAGTAGCAACGGTAATGAAAAAGGCCAAACCTTGAGAATAAAGTTCGAAAAAAACCAGATTGAAAATATATATGTGAAGATATAATGGAGCTCGAGGTGGGGAGTAAACACTATATTGAGTAAAGCCATAGTTATAAGGAATGAATGCACCCGTATTACTGTCACCAATTCCAAACTATGTCAACCGACGTCTTCAAACGATTATCGCAATTATTACCTGGGCCCCAACCGGGTAGTCTGCATCTAATAATATAGCTTAGATTAACTGACAATAACTTCGTAAACTGATGCCGTGTGTCAGTTTTGTCGCCACTGCCTATCGTTCAACCTAATCTTGCACTGAGGACTATTGCATACGAAAGTAAGCGGTGATTGACTATGGATAATAAATGCCTCAGCCAATCCAGTTTATGAAGGTTTATTGTCATTAACCACATTTACCAGATTCCGCGTCAAATCTCAACATCACTCACCCGACTAGTCTACCAACTCTGAAGAAAAATCGACTTATTCGATGTAAGGTTCAAATTATTCCCACTAAGGATTTTGTTCATCTTGAAATAAATTGGATAGAAACCCCAGAATTTACATAAAACCTGGTTTTTCGCCCAAAATTTATACAGAATTGGAAGATTGTGCGATGGTCTGAAAATACATAGGCAAAAATCCGAAATGTATCGTTTAATAGATACTGGTAACCTACGGACATTCATTAATTTTAGAGGCCGTTTTTCACACCTAAAGTCTACAAGAGAGAAATGCTGGAAAGAAAATAATTCTTGGTTGACAAAAAACATAACATCTACATCGCAAACTGCATGAGCATTTAACTACTGAGACGATTTAACCAGATAAGTTCCATCGGCCCGATCCACAATGAATTTGACCTGCATAATAAACCTTAATAGAAACATGCTATTCAGCTTACTACTTAGAGAAAACATTTTACATTATCTGCACCAAAAATGGATGAAATATTTGGCTGAAGTTAATTTTATACTAATATGCGTTTCAATAACAATTTAGCTTGGTGTACATTTATAACTGGTAATGAGTTCATAGATAAGATATTTAGTTTAATGAGCTATGTCGGGCCGCTGTGAATTTGACTATTTAAAAGAGCGAAAAACTAACCCAATTTCGAAAAAACGACTTGACTATACTGCGTATTCGATAGTAAAATCTTGCGATCACAAAGCCCCCCGACGACCTTGAGTGTTCTAATTGAGCGTCAAGTAACATCGAATATCAATATCAATACCGTTGGTCAGTCACCGACCTTTCAAGTAACACTATATTTCGCACGCCACTGACACATATTAATGCAGATCGGTATACCTTGACAGGTTCGCCTACTATGTTTATCCAACAGTCATTCATAGAACAATATAGGTTGTCCACTGAATAGTTATCAGGATTGCACGCTACAAATTACTTGATAACTGCGCTAAGAAAGATGAACCAAAGATATTAAAATCGATTTCAGGGAGCCCACGGAAAATAACAACAGCAATATGTGTATATATATTCTTCTGACTTATACGATCGACTTGCTGATTTCTTCGATTTTTAACGCGGTATCATCAACAGAGAAATTTATCTACATTATTTCAGTGTCCGCTCGGTTGTCAAAAAAATCTAAGGATTTTTCGATCTCTCGCGCTGCTATTGAATCTCGGTGAATTGTTCGCCTTCTTTTTACTTGACTGGCAGCTATGGTTAACCAGTTTCTCTTTTACATTCTTCGCTGCATCTTAAGGTTCCCTCGCACTTCTGCCACATGTGGCCTTATATGATGTAATTGCTAGTTCTGACGTTTTTTCGCTTATCAGCTCTTATGATCCTCTTCACCCTCTTGATGGTCCTGCGTATTTGGCCTATGCCTTTGCTTTCTCCGCTCTTGTTCGACTGTCGCTCAAAATGTCTTCGTATCCGATATGGTCTTTAACGATACGGATTTAAATCCAAACTCGAAATGATCAGATGTTTTCTTGAATGGTCTTCTGCGATCTAATGGATTCTTCCAAAAACTGGTCTTTATCATCTTAACTGATGCCATTTGTGGACACGTAGCACTGGGTGATACTCACTTCAGTCTCTTCCTTTTTGTTTTGAAAGATATTTTGACAACCCTGGAGTTTTGAGGTTCACACCAGCTAAGCTCTCCATGTGCTCCTTTGGATGGTATTAGACCAATCCATCTTGTGTATGAAGTACTTCCTCATTATGACTGGGTTTCTGCAGCACTTATCCAGGAGCACTTATTTCCTGCTTATTTTCTACCCAATCGTTTTACTTATCATAAGCACCGTCAAAATGTAACTTCTGTTTTCTTCAGGCATTCGAATAGTTCTCTTGGTCTTCTACATTATTCAGACACTTAAGGTACCCATGTCTTATCTTCCAAGACAGAGGATTTACGAGGACACTCTAAAACGTTGACAAGCCCAACCCATATAACCCACCAGCCCACTATCGACTTTAATGGTGAATGATTAACATAATCATTAACTAAACACATAATTGAAACTACATCTGTCGACACTTTCAGAAGACAGTTGGATAGACTGAGAGACCACTATTCCTTCTAAATTGAAACTGGAATTGAAACGTATAAATTGATACTTCGATCGTCAAAAATAGGCATCAGCCTCGTAACTTCAAAATACTTCAGACCTTCACCAAGACGCGTTCTAACTCGTTCGTATGAAAATGCCCAAATTTCCATGGTTAAAATGATATTTTGTTTAGTGTTTTTAAAACAAGGTCCTTTTTCACTGGAAGAGGTCGCTTATTCTATAATCAACCATTATTCACCTGAGTTTAATGTCGGTGGTAATCCAGAAGGTCCTCTAGAGTGTGATTTTTGGTTTAAATTGGTTTATCACAAAGGTATTTAGTATTGGATTCTATACTTACCACTGTCGTCTAAAGTCTGGGTGTTACTGTTGGCGCTATAGTTACGATTTGCGTTACCATTCAATAGACAGGTCTCCTGATGTCCTTGGAATCTCTTGTTTCTCCTTATCTAGAAGAACCATATCATAAACATAGAAATAACCTTCGTAGAAATTAGTGGTGGTTGGCTAATATTGGTAGTTATTGAGACCTTAATATTCGATCACAGTTTCTGTTTCCAAACTTACATACTTAGACCTTTATAAAGTTAGTGTCTACCTAATAAAACATCGGCCTGAAATCAACATGATCTGAACACATTGGACGTGAATTTTGACGGCCTGGTTGTGAACATGTTTGGCACTTTAAATCCGATTATTCCTGGCCGGGAATAATAGTGACCCGGGTCAATATAGTAAATATATTCTCTTTGGTTATAAGCAAATCACAACCTGTTTTATCAACAGTTGCTCTGATAGTCAATAAAGAGTCTCAGACATCATTTCAAGCCATCAGCGCAGGAAGTTAGGTGGTTAAGTGACATTGAGTTTCCACTTACCATACTCAGACCGCATATTGGCCTTTAGAAAATGGATCCATGTTGAGACTTTTGGTATTTTTCGTCACTCAAAAGTACCTAATGACAGACACAAAACTCACAAAATCTCTCTAAAAGGTCAGTACAAGACTTCTTGGTCCTTAAAGTCTCTAATAGATACTTTTATACTATACTTTTGTGCTGTGCTACAGCTTGTTTTAGCTGTTCCTTCGTTACAAAAACGAAATTGTCGTTTAAGTTCTGAGAATGGGGATCCAAGATAATATTTATCGATCGTCTGCAGGTGGGGCTGTTTCTTTGTGCAAGAATGGCGAAATACATTCATTGTCAGCCTACTTCTCAATTTTAGTTCTCTACCACATAACTGATTTTGGGCTTGCTGACTTTCTCTGCCCATAAAATTTATTCCTAAAAAACAAGAGAAGTGAGGTCATGTAGGACTAAATATCAAGTTATTTTAATACTATGGTCGAATCATTTCAGGTTCTCATTTGTGATAGGGAAATTAGATTTCATCCAACTACAAGGCCATTTGTAAGATTTAAAATTCTTCGAACCTTTTCCGCACCATACTTTCAACTTTTCCCAGTAGTTGGCCACCTCCACTTTTACAGGTGTCAGCGGCTTGTTTGCAGTACTTTACCCCTTGACAGCGTCGTGTTTTGACATATAAATCGCTAAATATTAACCACCTCAATTAATAATCCACGGGTTACTATGGTTAATCTCAATGAGTGATAAAATATCAAGCATTATGTAATTGTCCTCGTCTTGGTCAACAATCTATATCGTGACGGATTATGGGGGTTGTTTAACGTTTGGCAAATGAATTATTCCATTATTTCATCCAGGTCGTTATGAAACTCTTTGATATTTCCATTGTTTCTTGTCACCTTTTGAATGTCACCATATTCCATATATATCGAGAATAGTAATAGTATTGTTAATCTCATCATTGATGCTTATTTAGTGTTGTGGCTACTCTTACCAAGTAATGATGTTTACTACAGCCCATTAACATGTTCCTCATGTTGAGGTTATATTAGACTGAGCAACAGTGGCACTGAATGAATCATGCCGAAGTAGACTTGTTTACGTGTTGTATGTGGACTGACTAAATGAACGGAATGATTTTTTTTCAGAACGGGTTTTCTGATCCGTAAGGGATAAATTAGGGTTTCTCACAACTAAAAATATTACTATCAGACGATCATTGAGAACTTTATTCTCCTCATTAGTTGAAAATGTAAATAGTTAAGCCAACAAACAGTTTAGATTGTAAGTGATATGTGCTTGGTTAGTGTGTCGATTTCATAAGACAGTCACTCGTTAAGACTTAAGTACGGGTGGTTTCTAATAAAAGTGAGCTGCCACCAACCTACATGCTCTAGAGCTTCATCGAAATTCACTATCATAAATTTCTTGAAACCTAGCTCATTATCACATGAAGATAGAGTCAACTAAGAGTTCATCACACCAATTATCTTATATATGTGGGTTGAATAAATAATTGAACTCTAATTGTTTATTTAACGAACTTCTAGTATAAGACCAAAAATGGACTTAAGTGACTGGGATGGTTGTTTTCCGAAGTGTAGCCACTCACGAACCTGTTATTTCAATGCACTTCATGCCTGATTCAGTGGTTTAATATTTACGTACTAACCTTTTACTCCTGTTACCTGTCGTGGAGAAGCATAAGCCACCGACCAGGATTCTCCAACCCACTTTGTCCTGGGTACCCCTTTCCAGCTGTTGCTAAGTGTTACTCATTCTTTTGAAATGTACTTCCAATTTCCGGTTCAATGTGTTCTTTAGCGTGCTTCTTTTCCTTTTGGCTTGAAGATTGCAAGGTAGGACTGGCTTTGTGATGGAGTTTGATTATTTCCTCAATGTTTTTCCTATCGATTTCAGGTGTCTTTTCCTAATTTTGTGTTCAGATGGAAGCTGGCTTGTTCTCTGCCACAGTAGGTTGTTATTGGTGTTATATCCGGCCATCGAATCCAGAGTATCTTGTGTACACAACTATTTATAAATACATGTGCATTTTTGGTGATAGTTGTAGCTCCATACGGTAGAGCTGTATTGACGCCACTAATTTAATAGCATGCGTATATTTAGTTCAGAAAATACAGGTGTTTTTTTTGTACTTATGCATACTAGGTTCTTAGTGGTTTTAGAAGCTGAAGTTTGGATGAAGCATTTATATATTGGATGCAACTGTGTTTTTGATATGTGTATCGTCGAAATATGTCTTTTAAGAAATATGATCTTTGCAGTAATGTTAATTTAGTTGTATTTTCAGGACGTAATATGTGCAGAAATGTTTCATAATAATCCTATCACTATATGTTGAATTTGTTGATAGTGTGTTGTTTCTAGGCTATGATTTGTCAGTTTGATGATTGCCAAGTGATTTAGTTTCCTTATAGATGTTGCTAGTGGGTAATTGTAACGAAAGCTACTACGTTAGTCTTCTGTGCATTTCTATTAAAAGCATTGAAACTTAAACCAAGAATTACAGTTGCTGGTTTAGAGTAAATGGTGAAATTTTTCTCTAAATCTATTACAAGCTTTTAAATTCACTGATAATGATATTCCCTAACCCAACGTCTATGGGAAAACTTATGTGGATACCTTCACGTTAATCACAATATTATTCATTCATATTTTTATCAGGATTCTATAGATGTTTCTACTGTACATTATTGAAACTATTCATATTTGATGGTACTCTATAGATTCAGTTTTATTTCAAGGTTTATGTATAACAC